GTTTTGAAAGAAGCATATTATATAATTACTTCTTGTATTCTGGGCCATATGTTGACAGCTTTGGAAAATCTATACAGTAAGGACCAAAGTGTTTAGGTATAACTGGCTAGAAATAAACATGAACAATGCTTTATCATATAAATGTAAAGTTTCATGAGTTCGTTTTCTCTCTCTTCTTTTTAGACATTTTGAAGACAAGTTGTATTGTTAGCAAAACAAAATAAAAGCTTAGTCTATGAAAGGTATCAACAATTACGAAAATGCATAATTACTTAAGGTGATAAAAACATAACAGGTTTTGATATAAGTAATTCTTACATAATTTTGTAAGCCTACTAGAGCTCTAGGTCATAAATATTTTTGTCCCTTTACTATTATTTGTAAACAATTTATTTAATACACAGCAAGTATAATGGTGAAATCGTTATATATGACACAATTTGCTTCACACAAATGACTTTCACCCTAAATATATAACTAATAACTCAATTTTCACAAAATAATATTATATAAGGTCTCAACCCGGTACGGAATTAGACCCAACCCGTTGTAGTCTAGAAAGTAGTTCTTTAAAATTTTGAAGTGGCCCAATTTAAGTCATCTCTAGTTAGATTGGTCATAATTAAAGTGTATTTATTGCATGTGTGTAGTTTTTGTGTGTTATATGATGTGTTTAAAAGTTGTTTTTTGTGTATTCTCCAGGAACTCATTTGTTGGCGGAAGGATTAAAGATGTACCACCCACCAGCAGTCAGGAGTTTTCAAAGTGGTGAATTTAAACTGTGTTACAACAGAGTGAAGATTTCTGAAAAAAAGTAGATGGCTAACCTATTATATTTTGGGCCTCATTTGACTTAAATAGTGTTGATGTTTAAAGTTGAAGACAGTATATAATTCATCAAGAACAGTGGAATCCTGAATTAAGCCTCAAATGTGACTGATTTACTATAGAACAAAGAACACGAAAATCCACCAGGCCGTCACCAAGATTGATAAATTTTATTTTTGCACCCTGTATTTAGCAATTTACTAGATCTATAGCTTATTTTTATAAGATTTATATGGAATTTAATGATAATTTTTAGAGAAATGCATCTCCTGGTGAGCTTTTGTGATCGCTTTTCGTCCGGCGTCTGTCCGTAAACTTTTACTTTAAATGACATCTCCTCATAAACCACTAAGCCAATTTCATCCAAACTTCACAGGAATGTTCCTTTGGTGGTCACCTTTAAAACTTGTTCAAAGAATTTAATTCCATGTAGAACTCTGGTTGCCATAGCAACCGAAAGAAAAAACTTTAAATATCTTCTTTTAAAAAACCATAAGAGCTAGAGCTTAGATATTTGGCATGAAACATCTTCTAGTGAGTCTCTACCAAGTTTGTTCAAATAAAAGCCCTGGGGTCAAAACTGGCCCCGCCCCGGGGGGTCATTGATTTTCCCTATATGCATATAGTAAAAACTTAAAAAATCTTCTTTTAAAGAACCCAAAGAGCTAGAGCTAAGATATTTAGCATGAAACATGTTCTAATGGGTGTCTACCAAGTTTGTTCAAATAAAAGCCCTGGGGTCAAAATTGGCCCCGCCCCGGGGGGGTCATTGATTTTCCCTATATGCATATAGTAAAAACTTAAAAAATCTTCTTTTAAAGAACTCAAAGAGCTATGGCTAAGATATTGAGCATCAAACATGTTCTAATAGGTGTCTACCAAGTTTGTTCAAATAAAAGCCCTAGGGTCAAAATTGGCCCCGCCCAGGGGGTCATTGATTTTCCCTATATGCATATAGTAAAAACTTAAAAATCTTCTTTTAAAGAACTCAAAGAGCTATGACTAAGATATTGAGCATCAAACATGTTCTAATAGGTGTCTACCAAGTTTGATCATATAAAAGCCCTGGGGGTCAAAATTGGCCCTGCCCCAGGGGGTCATTGATTTTCCCTATATGCATATAGTAAAAACTTAAAAAATCTTCTTTTAAAGAACCAAAAGAGTTAGAGCTAAGATATTTAGCATGAAACATGTTCTAATAAGTGTCTACCAAGTTTGTTCAAATAAAAGCCCTGGGTTCAAAATTGGCCCCACCCCGGGGGTCATTGATTTTCCCTATATGCATATAGTAAAAACTTAAAAAATCTTCTTTTAAAGAACTCAAAGAGCTATGGCTAAGATATTTAGCCTCAAACATGTTCTAATAGGTGTCTACCAAGTTTGTTCAAATAAAAGCCCTTGGGTCAAAATTCGCACCGCCCCGGGGGTCATTGATTTTCCTTATATGTGTATAGCAAAAACTTAAAAAATCTTCTTTGAAAAAACCCAAATAGCTAGAGTTAAGATATTAAGCATGAAACATCTTTTAGTGAGTGTCTACAAAGTTTGTTCAAATAAAAGACCTGGGGTCAAAATTGGCTCCGCCCCGGGGGTCATTGATTTTCTTTATATGTGTATAGCAAAAACTTAAAATGTTCTTTGAAAAAACCCAAATAGCTAGAGTTTAGATATTAAGCATGAAACATCTTCTAGTAAGTGTCTACCAAGTTTGTTCAAATAAAAGCCCTGGGGTCAAAACTGGCCCGGCCCCAGGGGTGTCATTGTATAACTATATGTGTAAAGTAAAAACTTCTTCTTTTAAAAAAGCCAATGAGCTAGAGCTTAGATGTTAGGTGTCTACCAAGTTTGTGCAAATAAAAGCCCTTGGGTTAAATTGGCCCTGCAACGTTGGGGGGGGGGGGGGTGAGGTGGGGGTTGGATGGGCCTTTATACAGGTGAGCAACCTCAGGGCCATCATGGCCCTCTTGTTTAAATAACTTTGCACAAGGGATCATCATTTTGAGAAGATGTGCAGAGCATCACTGGGTTGCTACACTTAAGGTCAAGGTCACACTTAAAGGTCAAGTATTAATTTAAGTACATTTTTGTGTCCACTCCATAACTTTTAAACCGCTGAAAATTTTATACGCTTGAAAGAATTTCGGCATATATTGATATGCACCAGGTTGTCCTCCTGTCTGTCTGGGCGTTAGCTGGTTTTGTGTGCGGTATGTTTCTATTGAACCGGCGTTAGCTGGTTTTGTGTGCGATATGTTTCTATTGAACCGGCGTTAGCTGGTTTTGTGTGCGGTATGTTTCTATTGAACCGGCGTTAGCTGGTTTTGTGTGCGGTATGTTTCTATTGAACCAGTGGAAGGAAATTGAAACTAATTCGCAGAAATGTTAACCAGAATGAGACGATGTGCACAGCACAAGTTTGACCTTTTTAAGGTCAAGGTCACACCTAGTCATTTTGTATGAATATCAAAAATGTGTGTCTGCTCTATATCTTTTAAACTCAATCATAGAAAAAAATTGAAAAAAAATTGGCAGAAATATTACTTATATTGAGACAGTATGCATAACACAAATATGTTTTTTTTTCAAAACAGCTTATATTAAGTTTTTTGGTATCTATGATAAGTACATGTGCATACATTTTATTTGGATTAAAAAGGCATTTTGAGCTTCACATCCCAAGTGTCTGTGAATACGAACCATTGAAAGTGTTTATTCTTCAATATTTCGACTGCAATTTATAATCTGATATTTCACAGATGTCTGCGAGGAAACCATCGTCTATATAATAAAAAGCCCTGAAGCGCACACGATGTTGGGCTAGGACACCTTGCTGTTAATTATTTTAAATCGTGTAATCCATTATAAAGTTGTTGAGCCTGAACTTATAACGAATCATTTCACTACGCAGAACTTTACCCCCCTTTTATACATTACCGTCGTTTGAAATCCTAAATGTGCATTAACCATAGAATTTTATACTTGATTATTAAGTTGACATTAAATTGCTTGCCAATTTAAAGTGGAACGTTATTTTTTATGCCGTGACGTGGCGCTTGACTCATAGATCTTTTTGTAGATTTCAGCGTGACTTTAACCATCAAGTATTTAGTTTAAGAACATTTTTGGATGATACAGACTTAGTTTCAGTTAAACTAAAAGGTAATTTAAACCTCTATTGAAATGAATATTAAATATCTATGTAATTTGTCAGTAAGCTTTGAAAATGCAGCAGACGTGCGATATATAGTAGGCTATTCTTTTTTACGATATCAAAATATGGTTTTACTACATGCAGATATCAGAAACTACCAGGCAGGAAGTAGATCTTGACCTAAATAAATAACGTTTATAACGCATTTTATCTTCAAATATATATAAATGGATTTTATGCCAATAATATAGTGTATAACGATGATTGAAAAAAACATTCAAACCGAAACGATCTGGGTAGTTTGAAGATCTACTATATAGATCTATTCTATTTTAAAATAAATAGATCTAGAAGAAATATAGATCTATTCTATTTTAACTTCTAAACAGAAAGGTTTTGGGGAATTGGGTTGATGTTTTCTTTCTGTTTGTTTGTTTACAGTGGACAGTTTGATATTTTTTATTTTATTTTAAGATTATGATGGCAATGTGATTTTAGTGTCATCCAATGAAAATGCTGTATTTCTTAAAAATTATGTGTGTTAATTTTCCTAGAAGATCCAAAGTCGAATATTATATCAAATTCAATTCATAGTCGTCTTCCTATTTCATAGTACGTCATAGAACCGCGTTCATAAAATAGTCGTGACGTGATAAAGTGAATATTAAGGAAGCCAATAAAAGCTTGACATTAAGTATGTTAGTATTCGTCCTCAGTAGAAATTTGTGTCATTTAATTAAAACACTGTATTAAAAAATATCTGTGTTAATTTTCATAGAAGAGCAAAATTCGATACTATATGTAATTCTGTTCATAGACGCCTTCTAATTTTCATAATACTTCATAGTTCTAAACGATTTTGTACAAATAGTCATGGCGTAATAAAAGAATATTAATGAAGCCAAATAAAGCTTGACACTAAGTATATTACTATTAATTAGTATTCATCCGTAGCTGTTCTACAGAAATTAGTAAAATTTTCTTGTCGCTATCGCTCCCGTCAAAGTTTCTAATTTCTAAAAAAACAGCACGGATGAACACCTACAGTCATATATGTAGAATCTATGTAGATTCAACAATGAAATAAGTAATAAGGTGGCGGTTAAAGGAACACTAAATTGTATCGTAAACAAAGGGACAAATATTGTAAACTCATTGCCATCCACTGGAAGCCACAGTTTTCTCTCTTGATTAAGAATGAAGTTGAACATTGCGAATGTTTGCTTTTCATTTATTCTTTCAAATGTTTGATTCGCCTGAATATCACTATTTTAAGAAGCAAAAAGGCGGGAAACAATGAGTGTCACTCTCAAACACAAATATGTATTACTAATTGTGAAAATACCATGTATTTGATAACTTTATGAAAAATATAGCCACAAAAGCGAAGTTCTGATGCAAAATTGACTAAAATACATAAAATTGAAATGAGAGTTACAATCTAAATTTTGATTGAAATGAGAGTTACAATCTAAATTTTGATTTGATGAAATAAACACGTTATGCAAAGGGAACAACGTATGTTAAAGGGTGCCCTATCCTGTTTTTGTTTGGGGTCCTCCTAGGCTCCTTAATTGCCACCGGCTCTTGTTACTTGGTCGGGTGGAGGTTGCGTTCATTGAACGCCGCCTTTCCTTGTTGATCTTGTTTATCATATTTTATCTTTGCAAACAAATAGTAACTCGTGCCTGATCTTTTAAAGGACTCGTTAACTGATTAAGTCTATCTAGGCACTTAATTACTATTAATAAATGTTCTTATATTGCACTTTAGACCTGAGCGTTATTAAAAATGCCGAAGAAAAGGACAACTAAAGCTGCAACGGAAAAAAGCATTAAGAAACCTTACTCGAGGTCAGTTGACAGTGGCACATCTAGTGCTGGTAGTTCAACATCACAAAAGAGATCGGCAAACTTAACCTGGTTTCTTAAAATATACAAAGGTCTGGACGATTGGCATCTTCCAATATTTAAAGCTACACAAGAGTACACAAAAGCGAAGAATGTTTTGTATCCAGGAAGTGACAAGCACTTGACTGCTTCTCTTTGTTTTCCAGATGTTACTTATGTTGATTGCAACAAGAAATTGGAACCAATCTTTAATGATGATAAAGTTCTTGGATGGATCCATGAGAACAAGCTGTACAGTGAAGAAGCGAAAATAAAGTTCTTGTGCAAAAATTTCGAATCAGATTTCGCTAAGATAGCGTCTTTCGATCTGATGATATCTGCATGTGCCGGGATCGTTTCCAAGTCTTGTTGCAAATATGTGAAATCAGGTGGTTATTTCCTCGTCTCGGATGCCCACTTTGATGCTAGAGCAACATTTCTGAGACAGGATTACGAGTTAGAGGGAGTGTATGATATGGAAACAAGCAAGTTCCTAACAGGTGAAAATGATCTAGCAGGACATTTTCATACCAAGGAAGGAAAGCCTTTAACTGATAATGAAGTTGAAGAAAGTATGCAGAAACCTAAAGCTAAACGGTCCTTTAAACTTCAAAAGGAAGCAATGTTTTACCTGTTTAAGAAGGCCAAGTAACTTTTCTTGCTTGTATTACTGCATCTGCATGATTCTTTCATTGTAAATTCGGAGACAGTAGATTATAAAATACTCGATTTCTTAGGAATCAACCTTTTACCAACTCCATATTCCGACCATAGATCATGTTCATGTATATCTAAACTTGACATAACCATACATATTATATATACATTGTATAACTATACATATTATTTTTGATCTGCATTTAAACATTGTGAGGTTTGTAGATGTAATTAAATGCATAAGAATACCACATTGTTTTGTTGAAAATGCAGAAAGAGATTGTTTATATGTATTTTGAGCATCTGAACAATTGTACCCTTTCATTACTAGTATTATCAACTGTGAAGTGCAACATTCCTACTTTGTTATCGTCCCGACAGCTACGACCTCCACTTAAGCAATGTTATTTAACAAACGCGTGTTATCTACGTATTGTTGCCCTTCAAGAAGGTTGTCATTTTTAACTCCGTCAAGTGATGTCCATTTTCTGGTTAAATAGGGCTAAATATCAGGATCACTGTTGATGATAAATCATTTTTATATTGAACAATGCGACGCCATACAGTATGTTATTTGCTGAAAAAGGAGTCGAAAAAAGAGGTAATATTTTTAAGGCTTAATGGTCCTGAACGGTTTCATTATCGCAGTTCATGGTCTATGAAATTCTCAAAGTTTAAACTCAAGATCTCAGGTATCTGATTGACCAGTAAACTGTCACAGAAAATTCACTAACCAATTGTAATCCTGAGATTTGAGACAGAACTAGAGAAAAATGCTTTATAACTTCAAGACAAAGCTACCAATTCAGAGAGTAACGATTTGAATGATAAAAGACCTTAGTTTCTTGTGGGAAACGTCTTAAGATGACTATATAAAGTATCATGTTCGACAATTTTACTTTGTGTCTTGTGTAATCTGTATAATTTGTCAATCTTAATCTAGACGTTCTATTGGTTGAAATGAAAGTGCATACTTCCGTAAAAGTAACCGTTTTAATGCATATAATTATGAAACAGTCTGCGCTTTTAGCAGTCTTAACATTTCTAACTTTAAATAACTTACAAGTTCATGTGTTCCATAAAGATGAGAATAATAAATCTGATTGTTGTTTCTGTGCTGTGCGTCTTGTCATCGACGAAGGGGGATGATGGTCTTGAAATGTGCCCCGTGTCAAAAGACAAGGAGATTATAGAGCATTTGGTTAGAACAGAGATAAAGGTAGAGTCGATGTTACGGGAGACCAGGAAAACCAAGGAGCACGTATTGTTGCTGCTAGGGTATCCTAAGAAAGATTCGCAGAAATCTTTGGACGCGCTCAAAGAAACTCAGGATGCTCAAGCAGATCAACTTCGAGATGTTACTGAAAACAATGCTGACTTGGCAAGAAGGGTCTCGGTCGTAGAAGGTATGTTACTTATCAGTTGAATTTATCCTTCCGTGACTTACAATCTAAGCGTGTTACTTTTGACATTTAAAGGGACTCCACGTACTGAGGTTTTTGTACACGACTGGGCTGGAATTTTTTACGAGATTTATGTTCCGTTAAATGTAGGTTTAGACCAATAAAATATATCGTGCATAATTTCAGACCATTCGGTCTTGCTTATAATTATTCTTATTGTGAAAAATGCCCTTAAGCGTTGCAACGATTTTTTACTCGAATTTGGATAAGAAGAACAAAAATACGATTTTCAATCTACTTCCGAGTATTTTTTTCTGAATAGATTTTGCATATCTTTCTGTTTTAAGTGGCCCAGCTGATCTATGTAAAATTCAAATTTTAGGCTGTTGGACCTCAGTGGAGTTTCTTTAAAGAGATATATACAATGAAAGTCAACAAATCTGTTCTTGATGAAATAAAGCGGACAACATATATGAGCTAGCCGTGTCACGACAAAAACCAACATAGTGCGTTTGCGACCAGCATGGATCCAGACCAGCCTGCGCAGTCTGATCATGAATCCATGCTGTTCGCTATCAGTTTCTCTACTTGTAATAGGTTGGTAAGCAAACAGCATGGATCCTGATCAGACTGCGCGGATGCGCAAGCGGTCTGGATCCATGCTGGTCGCAAACCCATTATGTTGGTTTTGTCATGACGCGGCTATATAACCCATGTCCACTATAAAACCAGGCTTTTTAATTAAATATTACAGCTGTAATCGAGAATTAAGAAATATTTTCGATAAATTTTCGTGAGGGATATTAAAGAGTGCTGTTGATCAGTTTATCGATCGGATGGATAGTACTAGTGTTCGATGTTTTCATTCACTGCCAGCCACTTTTCGTCATTGTGTAAAACAAATATTTTTTCGTTTCTTCTCAGATACAGTTGCACCAGTGGCAGTGGTAGCGTTTGTAGCGAGACATTTGAAGAACGTAGCGATAGACAACGGTGAAACATTGGTCTTTTCCACGATCGTTTTCAACAGTGGTGCTGGCTATGATAAACAGTACCGGAATATTTACGGTTCCAGTAAGCGGTCTGTACCAATTCAACGTGCGACTGTGTATTTTTGTGAACACATTTGCTCATATTGAGATTGTTTCTGAAGATGTTATCATCACCAGGACGCGTATGGTTGACGAGGGGACCCGGTTTCATTCATGCAGTGAGCTTACTGGGTTTGCTGTTTTAAGTGTTGGGAAACGAGTAAGGGTAACAAGTTCGCTTTCAAGTGATGTAAAAACAAACTTCTGGTTTAGTCCTGGTATAGTATGGAACACATTCTCCGGGGTGTTGATTAACAGAGACAACTAACAATCGTGTTAGAACACTGCAGTACTGGATTTGTTGTTTGTTTGACATCAGTATCTTGCATTGACTAGTTGTTGTTGTTTCATTCAGACATGTTAAAGGTATAACCTAAACAAAAACAATTAAACTAAGCAAAAAAGACGCAAGTGCATAATTATAGAATGCACTTTGTCCAAAATTCACCAAAATTAATTGGGAATATATTAGTATTCTTTCTCGTGTGATATTGAAGTTATCCCGCGCTGTGAGTTGCAAAATACATGGCCTAATTTTTAAAAGCTTTAACAACATGACTCTTATACAGCTATAATTTTTATGAAAGACACTCAATTGACATTTCATAAGTTGTCTCGAAAATAGAAATATAGCTGTCAAGATAAAAGATTATTAAGATTATCATCCAAGGTAGTAATTTTAGTGCAAACTTTTAACACCTTTCAATGTATAAATCTATATCTGATGAAATATTTTATAAAAATTTCACAATAGTAAAATTCATGTATTTTATGTTTTATGTTCGTTCCAGAATGTCTGTGTAATTTAGTACATGTTTACATAAATAGACCAAAATATTTTGCTCCTATTTTAGTAGGTTTTTAGCGATGGTTTCAAGCATGTCCTACTTTCTTTCAATAAAAGAGATTGACGAATTTCTCTACTTCTTGATACTATGTAATCATTTTAATCACAATATAAACAATAATTTTAGAATAAAAGACAGGAAATATATATCTTTCTTACATTTGAGTTTGCAGTGTTTGTTTGTTTGATTGGGTTTTACGTCACACCGACACAGTATAGGTCATATGGCGACGTTCCAGCTTTACTGGTGGAGGAAGACCTCAGGTGCCCTTCCGTGCATTATTTCAGGCACGAACGGGCACCTGAGTAGAACCATCGACGTTCCGTAAGTTAGCTGGATAGCTTCCTCACATGAAAGAATCCAAAGTCCCTGTCGGGATTCGAACTCACAGCGGTGAGCGGCAAGTGGTTTGAACCACTCGGCCACGGACGCCCCACATTTGCAGTGTGCACACGTATTATTAGGCGGAATAGTAAATGAACATATAGGCACTTAGACAGGGAGAATTTTATTTATACATAATATGATCTTGTAATAGATAATAACAGAAACATTTTATGGGAAACTTGTAAGTTATCAGACTCTTTTTTTTAAATTATCATTCTCTGAATCGGGAGTATTTTTTACTATTTAAGATAAATTAAGAAACAAATATATATTCAATCTCATTAAAGCTAGGTCCATTTTATTTCTCATTTATTTTTATTTTTGGTATCTTGTAACAGTTTCCAAAAATTACCCATTTGTCTTATAGATGGAATATGTTTGCGGCCTTTGCTTTGTTAGCATATTAAATGAGTATTTAGTATGGAGGTCAAAATACTACTTTGTTGGCATTTTGTTACCGAAAATTATTACTTGAATCTTTTTTACTTTTCTTGAAAAATTAGTACATTTTTTTCTCAAGTTTGATTTCCTTGAACTAGTTAATTTGGCTCATATGGAGGTATCCCTAGCGGTAGCTCATTGAATAAGGTATGTAAGCCTATTGTGAGCGAGTGTGCAAGTTTCAAGTATTTGATCAATCGGAACACATCCGGCTATTATCAATAATAATTTATCCGTACTTTGGCGGAAACGGTCGAGAAGATGCGATTGGTATATTTGATGCAGTGAAAGAGAGCTGCAAGATGGCCGGAAACTGAAAAATGCATGTTATCAACAAGTATTTTATACGTGATAGTAAGTGTTTCCGAGTATCACTTAAAATACAAAAGTTGATTAAAAACTTGTTGACTTTAAGTGAATATGTTACATAATTTTCAAAATAATTTCTTTCAGAATCTATAGTTAAACTTTTACACAATATGACTAAAGTTTGGGAGAAGAAAACGTATACCAACTCCCCTTTGCATTCTATTCTTTTGAAGAAAAAAAATGGTACTTTAAATAAACCGAGCTAAAATAAACGTATTTCTAGTGTCCCAAATCTTGGACTCTGTTTGATTACAATTCTTTAAGGTTGTTTAGAGATAACGTTATTAGTACCAAGTATCAGATATAAGTTAGTGTGAAATGAAGACTTACCTGTGGATTTTGGTTTCATTTAGCCTCAAAATATTAGTTAAAGGTAAGTTATATACCTTTTAATGTTGCTTAAACAGTATTTTCCAATCAATGGAAAATAAAGTTTCCCCACATGATCTCGTACGGATTTTAGCTATAAAATAGTAACCGGCATGGATCAATCTCCACTCAGTGATCCCCCACCCCTTTATTCTACGGTATTCTTACTGTACTGGTCAAGGAAGTAACCGCTACGAGGAGCTTGGTTCTGGACATGGCACAAGTATGGTGGCTGATTTGGTACGCTTTTGTGCGTCTAGTTGGCGCTAGCGACAAAGCGCCAAACGGCGCGTTGTCGGACTTTCGTCTTGTCGTCCTGTCGCTAGCGACAACACGACAAAGCGCCAAACGGCGCGCTGTCGTCTTATCGTCCTGTCTCTAGCGCGGCACGTCAAACGGCGCGTTGTCGTGAGGCGCGTTGTCGCGATATCGCCCTGCCGCTTGGCTTATAAGCCAATCCTTCAATTTGAACCGAGCGACAATGTGACATCGTGACAACACGCCGCACGACAACGCGCCGTTTGGCGTGTCGCGCTAGAGAAAAGGCGGCAACGCGCCGTTTGTCATGTTGTCGCTTGCGCCAACACGCAACGCACAAAAGCGTACCAAATCAGCCACCATACACAAGACTGGAATGGCGTCCATGTTTTTTTTCCGTCAAATCAAACAAACTATTTTATAACCGAGAAAAAGAAGCACAGGATAATTTATCATAAGAATTAAGTAAAAACTAGAACTGTGTCCAAAGGACACGGATGCCCCCACTGACAACATATATATGGTATATAGTGAAAAAATCAACAAAGGGCCATAATTCAATTAAATTTGGTCGCAGCAAAAAATCCTTCCTTTACTTCCATCTACACATTAAGGTTGTTCATCCCTGCAAGTTTAAGCACAATCTGCCATCCGGTTTAAGAGGAGTTGCGTTCACAAAATTTCTATATGGTATATAGTGAAAAAATCAACAAAGGGCCATAATTCTGATAATTTGGTCGCAGCAAAAATTCCTTCCTTTACTACCATCTACACATTAAGGTTGTTCATCCCTGGAAGTTTAAGCAAAATCTGCCATCCGGTTTAAGAGGATCGAGTTGCGTTCACAAGATTTCGGGACGTACGGACGGACAGACGGACGGACAAGTGCAACGCTATATGCACCCCACTTTGTGGGGGCATAAAAATGTATAACTGTAATTATTCTTCTACTGAATCGAGTTCAGGTGATCGTTGTACAAACGATCCGATGTAGAATGATATAAATACAGGACTTCGGAACCGAACGAGAGGTTCGAGTGAAGGGAGGTATTCGAACGATCCGAGTTCGAGCAAACGAAGTTTTAACTGTAATTCTACCAGCGAAAATCCTTCCAAATGCTGTTTAATTTTTAGTAACTTGAATGCTCTTTATTATCAGAAACGTAAATGTTCTTTCATTATCCGTAACGTAAATGCTCGCACTATCAGTAACGTAAATGTTCTTGCATTATCAGCAACGTAAATGCTCTTTTATTATCAGCAACCTAAATGCTCTTTCATTGCTAGTAACGTAACTGCTCTTTCATTATTAGTAACGTAAATGCTCTCTCATTGTCAGTTACGTAAATGCTCTTTCATTACCAGTAACGTTAATGCTCTTTCATTATTAGTAACGTAAATGCTCTTTCATTATCAGTAACGTTAATGCTCTTTCATTATCAGTAAAGCAAATGCTCTCTTATTGTCAGTTACGTAAATGCTCTTTCATTGTCAGTAACGTTAATGCTCTTTCATTATCAGTAACGTAAATGCTCTTTCATTATCAGTATGTAAATGCTCTTTCATTATAAGAACGTAAACAGTCTTTCATTATAAGGTAACGTAAATGCTTTCTTATCAGTTGCGTAAATACTCTTTCATTATAAGTAACGTAAATGCTCTTTCATTATTAGTAACGTAATTGCTCTTTTATTAGTAACGTTAATGCTCTTTCATTATCAGTAACGCAGCTGAAATCGTTATATGTTCTTTTGTATTTTAACGGGAGCAGAAACAACAGCAACGTGTACATGTGGGGGTCCATCGGAAACACGTATTCAATGGGTGACATGTTGGTAGATGACCAGGTGTGCGGAGTTTGTGCCAATCATGGATTTGGCATACGGTGCTACGGAAGTCTAGATGGGACATGCGCGTTAAATAGTTGGTTAAATATTTAATTTTTAACTACGTTTAACATTTAAATACTAATAACTTACTCGCATGTGTTTAAACATTTTTGTACATAATTATAGCATTAGCATCTTTGTTTTAATGAAATAATACAACAGCACATGGAATTGACCCTTTTCTCCTATAACTGATATTTTTAAAGTGAAACTTAATTTGTATTGATTAACCCACAGTCTTTTTTATATTGGCACTGTTAATATTCACACAAATTAAAAGTTAAAGGAACTCAATTGAAGTTTTTTGACGTTACGGGACTGGAAAAAAAATTCCGAGATTTGTGAACAGATTAATGAGGATTTGGACCGCTAGCATGTGTGAAAATATTTAGGTCATTCCCTCTCTCCGTTAATCCCAAAACTCATTTTTATTGTGCATATGACCCAAAAATGAAAAGCGTTGTAACGCTTTTCACTCAAATTCGATCGAGAGTCGCACGAAAAATCGATACTCATTTTAATTATTGGTATATTTCTTTGTTTTTTGTTAACTCTGGGTATTTTTCTTTTTCTCTTCTGCAGAAGCTTTCCATCTTAAGTACTTCACTTTTGATATGTTTCAGATTGTAATGTTGTTAGGCAAATGGACCTTGGGTGGAGTTCCTTTAACATACAATTTTATTTATATTCTACAGGCACTGTGGCCAAGGCAGGAGACCCTGCATGCCTGTACAACTTGAAGATCTATTTAGTTGGAGATGTCTTTGCTACACTAGATGGTTGTAACAAGTGTCTTTGTACAGAACGTGGCATGCAGTGTACAATGAAGGCGTGCAGTTCAGCAGGATTTGGTACATATAATTTAAACCTTAACATATCGTGTTCGACCTTTGCAATTCGAAAGTATGGTGTGTTTTTATTGAACGTTCTAAAAATAGAAGCATGTGGAGTGGATAATTGAAAGCAGCACGCCTCCATATTCATGATTATTTTCGTGAAAATGTATTAAAAATAGAATATTGTCTTTGAATTTCACACGGCACGTTCAGTCCAATATAAAAGTTTTAAAAAAATAACCAAAAATAGCACTTACTGCGTTAGTCACGCAGTAGAAAATGGTAATAAATACTGTAAAATAAGTCCTTCAATGCCCTTTCCGTCAAACTTCGGATAAGAAGTTATAAATAAACTCTTGTAAATAATAGCTGAGAAGCTATGATTTGACCCAAGATAATGTGGATGGAAAAGCAGGCACCTTAAACCACTAGGCCTATGTTCTTCAAAGTGTGTTGACTTTTATATTTCCAGCAACGCCAAGTAAAGAGCCCATATACGGGGAATGCTTGTACAATGGTGGGTGGTACAGACATCAGACCCAGTGGTTGACACGTGATGGATGTAACACGTGTTACTGTCATTCTATTGGGAACTACCAAGGAGGTTACGAGTGCACAAAAAGTAAATGCCCTTGCAGTGCAGTAAACCAACCTGAAATCACGGGTTAATTTGGAACTGCAATACTTTTATAGAAATCATATGCTAAATAAAGTTAACCGAAAAATAAGTTAAGCTTATTTCTTTAAGTCTTAAAGACGTTGTTAAAGTCGTATGGCCACTAAAAATATGTAAATTTAAGATAGAATTTCTATCTGAAAGACCCCCGATTAACCTAACAATGACAAATGAATGCCATTGTCTTATATAATTAGGGAAAATCTGGAGACATTCCAAATATTACACTTTGCACGTGAGTAACTCTGAAAAGGCTTGAAAATTCTCTCCCTTTAAGAATGGGAAAAACTATCCATTCTATGGATAAAAGGTATTGTTTTCTTCTTAACCTACTGAATTCGCCACATCACTTTACGGTATTGATCAAAAGAAGTGGAGAAGTTGCTGTTGCAGATTGTTTGGCTATGATCAAGAGCATGTACACTTCAACCAACAAATAGTTGTATTTTTGTCGTTGTTGTTTTATTTGGTTGAGTTTTACATCGCAACAAGTGTTAACGTTACATAGCGAATGCTTTACTGTTTGAAGAAGACCTTGGATACATCCGTGAATTATTTCAGGCACAAACGGGCACCACAGCAGAACCACCGACATTCCGTAAAGAAAGCTAGATAACTTCTTCACATGAAAGAATCCTGGCGTAATTTGAACACACAACGGTGAGGGAAAATTGGCTTGCAGTCAATGACCTTAACCACTGGACTACGGACGCCCGCTCTGATAAAGAATGACTTAATAACACAGATCAACAATGTATAAGGTTATCACATTATTTTATTTCTTTTTTAAAATATCTCATTTTTCTTGTATCAATTTGTAGCATACAATATTTCTTCCCCCTTTTTCTGCAATGAGTGTAACATGCTATACAATACATGTTACAGTCTTAACAGACGGAAGAATATGAACCTATAAAATAAACACTGAACATTTTTCTACACACCAACAAAGACAAAAAAACATCGTTTTTGTCTACGCTTTCACAACATTGATCAATGGAAGACATTAAAATACACTGGTGATATGGCATACCAAAAATTGGCCATGAATAAAAGAGCTACTAAAACTGTTTTTGTCAAGTAAAACAAAATAGGTCCATTTTTATTGTCTTAAAACAAAGGACTTTTTAACTTTGACACAGTGTAAAATTTTTTTTTTATAACCATCTGCCAAGAGTTAACATAAGTGTGTTAAATTGCAAATCGTTAACCAGTTTTGGAATAAAATTAGGAGTAAAATCCCCCCTTACTATATTAACTGATCTGGAGCACCGAGTTATTAATATTTTAATAAGTTTTAATTTGCTGAATTGATAAATTTAACCACAGGTTTGACAGAATGCTCATCTGATCTCCTACATTATTTCATATCCGTTAAAAAAAAACGATTTTTTTAAATAAAGGCAAAACAACTTTTTTCTTTTGGGCATCTGAAAGTTAACCTCTTACAGTTTCCAAAAATTACCCATTTTTCTTATAGATAAACTATAGATCTATGCGTCCTTTGCTTTGTTGGCAATTATATAATTATAATGAATAAGTATTTAGTATTGATGTTAAAATACTACTTTATTTGCATGTTGTTACCTTTATAACAACATGAAAATTATTAGTATTACTTGAATCTTTTTTACTTTTCTTAAATTTTTTGTACATTTTTCTCTCAAGTTTGATTTCCTTGAACTATTTTGGCTCATATGGAGGTATGTAGCTTATTGAATAAGGTATGTAAGCCTATATATTGTGAGCGAGTGTACAAGTTTCTAGTATTTGATCAATCGGAACACCTCGGCTATTAACAATAATAATTTATCCGTACTTTGGCGGAAAGGGTCGAGAAGATACGATTTGTATATTTGATGCATGTGAAAGCATGTGAAAGAGAGCTACAAAATGGTCGGAAACTGAAGAATGCATGTTATCAACAAATATTTTAAATGTGATAATACACACAGAAACATGTCAAGTACTTGTTTTCGGAGTATCACAAATACGAGGGTTGATTAAAAAAATTGTGAGCCTCAATATGTAGATTTGACTTTGGGTCAACATGTTGCATAATTTTCAACATAATTTTTTTCATAATCTATAGATACACTTTACCACAATTAATATGGATGAAGTTTGGAGAAGACGACATATTAACTCCCCTTTGCATTCTTTTAAAGAGTAAAGGTGCTTTAAAAATAAACGTATTTCAAGTGTCCCAAATGTTGGACTCATTTGTTTGTTTACAAGTGCTATATACGAGGGTGCATCAATAAATTCGTAAATTTATTCAATAGCGGAGAAATGCTTTAATTCAAGTACCTAAAATGATTACTTATTCTCAAAGTAACGCCCCATGCACGAATTGCACTTGTCCCATCTCTCGACCCCTGACTCGAACACGTGTTGTAGCCCGTCACGTGACATCTCCCGCAGCTGTCTGTCCACGGCACATCTCAGTTCCTCTCTTGACCACGAAGACTGTTAGGGCCGTAGGGTGGGTGCGGTAACAGTTCGACGTCGAGTTTTTCTAGTGTATCCATGACAACGTGGCTTCAACATAGGTGTTCGGTGCGTTGATGGGTCACCATCCCCGGGCCCCACCCCCTCAGTCACTCTACAACCCTCCTACCTCTCTAAACCATGTAAACTGCAGTATTTTTTTTTCATTTGAAACATGTTTTAATATTTACTAAATGCTTTTAATTCAATTTTCTTCATGGACTTGAATGGCTCGGCGCGTTGTCGTGATGTAATATGAATCCGGAATTAAGGTATTAGCACCCTAATGCATTACCTCCGCGTTGAAGAGTATTCAAATAGGCTAGAATTACTGTTAACTACATTGAAAATGAGGGCCATGGGTTCAATCCCCAGACGGGTCAACTTTTTTTTTCTTTCTTTTTTTCTTTTAACATTATTTATGTATCTCTCATGTCCCATATGGAAAGAAAAAAGTGTTTAATTTTGAATTTTTAATTTATATAGGTATTTATTGGCTAAATTATGCTAAATCTAGTAATAAATATGGTACCTGATATTTTCAAAGTGTAATATAATCAAAACTAGACGGTAAAAGTATTTCATATTTTACAAGATCAACCAATATACTTTTTAAAAAATTTAGGGAAACTTAAAAACAGGCACTCATTTGGGTAAATTTTAAGAATTATTTTAATTAGGCTCCCTTAGTAGAAAAATGGTCAGACATGTGGTAAAAATGGGTGGGGTAGGGTAACATTTTTATACAGATTTCATAAATTTTAAGTAGAAACCATAATTTTGCTTATGTGGATTGTTAGCTGAATGGTACTATTTGTTTCTTACCAAAAATTCATGGGAAAACATTTTTCATCAGAATGTTATTGCAGATTATTTAAAGGTTCCTCATTTCTAAAAAAGGGCCCTCATAACATCCTAGCTTGAGTTCAGAAAAGTGGCCATAACTTGATTTCCGTACGGTAAACTTTGTTTAAATTTTGCATACAGGCGTACTTTAAGGTATACATCTGACCTATGATGTCATTTCTTTAGTTCCTGATAGTGCCCATTAGGGTCCTAATACCTTAAGTAGATCTGGGCGCTTTCTCATTACTGCCGCCATGATTTCCGTTCTTAGTAATGCTGCAGTGACTGTCGTTTTCGGAAGAGACTGGCATGCGAGCAGTACCCGTACTAAAATCGTAGTTACTTAAAAATTATTTCTTTTTCAGCTCACACACAAATTTGAATTGTTGAAACGACCATTTCCTCAGAGGTGAATGTCATTCAGGATATCTATAGAGCGTACACTAAACACTGGTGTCTATTACCCGGTACAGTTACCCCAACGCGTTCGCATGCAATGCCTGCTTGTATGCATGATATTTTACCTATTAAAGTCATAAAATTATTTTATTAGTAATACTGTATAGGTCGAAATTCTGATAATTTAACAGGTTTTCATCGCATTGCCTACATATCTGTACACAGGTGGTATAAGTGGAAAACCCTTAAATAGGCCTCATATGTAAATATTTTTGCGCATGCGCGCAAGGACGGAATCCCCCAACGTTTACAAGGTCACGTTTTGACAACACACAGGGGAAAGTGCTTTTTGTACATATTGCCGAACTGACACATAAATTTTGTCTCGTTCATACATCTGCTTGATTTGATATAAATTTTTAAATGCAAGTAAAATCAAGCATTTAAACGAAAAATACAGGTACTGCTTCTGTCGCATGCCAGAACTCCGTATGTATCACAAAATACAATGGCCATGTAACTTTCCCAGCTGACTTGGAAATTATCGCTTTTGTAGGGGAAGGCAAGGAAAGATGCTGCCAGACAGAACTCTGACGCTTGCTTTCCGGTTCAAAAAGTGAATACACGTTTCATCACATGATATCACTCGATTTAAGGAAAGTAATCGTCTTAATTCTTAACGATACCTCCTGTCGCATTGCTGACACATTTTCACCCTTGCTGTACCCCCATCTGCTTCGACGTCAACAAACGAGGTACCCATCTTGCCGAAACGCGGTGCATTCCTAATCTATATCAGTCATAATGCCCTGAGCTGTACCATATGAAATAGCGAACTTATCTGCTACGTGCTCCACACTTACTCATCTTTCTCGGAGTACGTACTCCTGAATGGCACCCACTGATTCTTCATCTGTTACAGACACTGGTCTACCTGCAAGACTGTCGTCTTCAGTTGCCTCTATACCGTCTTTAAACCGCTTCATCGACTTTGAAATGGCACCTTATGACAGAGCAGCCTCTCCGTAAACTTTTTGCAAATCTTCACGAATACGGAAAAAGACTTTCCGAGTTTTGTGTAAAACTTTATAACGATGCGCTGTTCGTTGACGCTGTGCGACGCCATTTTCGAATGGACGCCCATAATGTGACGTCATTTACGGTTTATGACGTTATAAGTGATGACGCCAAAGTTGTGTACATACTACGATTCAATTTGAAATAATCTGTTTACACAGCATTTAAAGTTTCATTTTAAACGGACCAGCAGTTTTGACGCTATTGAATTAGTTTACAAATTTATTGATGCACCCTCGTATATATACATGTATAGTCTAAGGTTATCTTGCGCCAATAAAAAGATAACGTTGATATTACAAGTGCAAGACTTGGTATCAAAAACAAGTAAAATTGTAAAATGAAGGCTTACCTGTGGATTTTGGTTTCATTTAGCCTTCAAATATTAATAAATGGTAAGTTTTATGTGTCTTAATATGTTGTTTAAACAGTATTTTCAATCAATGGAAAATAAAGTTTCCGCACGAATTTTAGATAGGCTCGAGGACAGATTTTATAAAAAGCAAAACCCGAGATGGCATGATGTTCTGGATATGGCACAAGACCGGGACGGCGTCCATGTTTTTCGTCGTGTGACGGTATTTGAAGAAGAAAAAAACTTGATCTTATTCATATAAATTAAATAAACTCTTCTAGGCGAGATAAAGATGCAGAGAATAATTTAACATTAGAATTAAATGCGATCGTACAATAGTCTATAGTTACGTAATTAGAGGATATTGAATGAGTGTAAGTTCAATACTGAATTTATTGCACTCGTTGAATAAAATTATATTATGCGAGCCTCTGGCGAGCATAATATTATTTTATTCAACGAGTGCAATAAATTCAGTAATGAACTTACACGAATTTAATATTCTATTTATCACATACCCAAAATAAAGATCGTTTAAAGTAAAATAAGAGTCATTTTTCATTGACGCATCTATAGTAGGCCTATAACGCTAACATTTAGCGCGTCTTTACACTATGTTTGTATAACGCTAATGACGTCACGTCAAAATATATGCACGGCCGTGCAATACCATATTTACGGAGTCGCAAAATCGGCACGGGTGTGTGATAAATGTTCTTTCGTTATAAGTAACGTAAATGCTTTTTGGTTTTTAGTAATGTAAATGTTGTTTCATTATTAGTAACGTTAATGCTCTTTCGTTATTACTTAACGTAAATGCTCTCCGTAATTAGTAACGTAAATGCTGTTTCATTATTAGTAACGTAAATGCTGTTTTATTTTTAGTAACGTAAATATGTAAATGGTGTTTCATTATTAGTAACGTAAAAGCTGTTTCATTATTAGTAACGTAAATGCTATTTCATTATTAGTAACGTAAATACTGTTTCATTATTAGTAACGTAAATACGTAAATGCTGTTTAATTATTAGTAACATAAAAGCTGTTTCATTATTAGTAACGTAAATGCTGTTTCATTATTACTCCAACCAGTATAAGTCTGTCCCAATCAAAATGGAAATGAACTTTTGCCTGGTATGTTCTCTTATTAGCGATGGTGCTAGTTAAAATAGACACTATGGACACAAGCAAAGCAATGTGAAGCAGTTCCCCTTTCGTACCAAGTTTTGCATTATTATTAATTTTTTGCGTGCTATTTCTAGCGCGAGTTTCTGTTGTTGATGTTCGATCTTACGAATATTTTTTAAGAACGGACATCGAGCCCGAAATAAGAAGGATAACATATTGTATACCATCGGACCTGGTCATTTTAATTATTTTTGAATCTAGACTTGATATATGTTAATGGAAAAACTACAGAATTAAGTAAATTAAACATAAGCTATAATAATTAACGGGTTATTATTTTATTTTTCTTTAATATTCATGGCCGTTGATCATTCTTTCCTTGTCATATATATAACTGTATGATATATTTATGATATATAGTGTTATTCTGTTTAGTTTACTTACATACGAAGGAAGGTCGAAGAAGAATTTTTTTTAGTCTTCTAGTGCTCCTGTTCCCCTATGACGCGTTGCAGTATAGTCAAGATACGCGCTTGATTGATAAGCTATCTAAAGGCCTCAACAGACGGTAGGATTTAGTTGTACAACAATAACAAGTAGAGATTTTGATGCTAAAGCATCAAGTCGCCGGATAGAAAAATGATTGTATTATCATAAATATAAGAAAATATAAGTTTAATGGTTCAAGTATAAAAATAAGAGGAACAATGAGTTGAGTAATGTTTGCCACTGAGGCTTAATTGTAAGGCAAGTGCTATGCTGGTAATTCTTCTTGTAATTTTACTTTATACATATACTGTTGTACCATACATTGAAATCCGTATAGGTTACTAGTTCAGATTCAGATAATTACCGACAAATAATTACCGATCATCGAATATTTGCAAAGTGACGATGAAAATATATATGTTTAATTATTACATGAAACAATACAATTTTATTGTAAAAGTGTTGTACATCATTATTATGTGCTATAGAAAAAATATATAATTTACTTGAAATCAATACACGTATTCCAATCGTTACATACGATATATAAAATTAACGTTTAATTGCCTTTCAGTGCGATAAACTATCAACACAAAGATAGTTTATTATTTTTTTCTATGTATCTAATACAATTCCGGACCCCTGACGTCATACCGTTTTGGAAACCTGCGTGACGGAAACCGACGGAATATACCGAAATCAACGATTACCATTATATATTTCAATAATGTGCTTCTTAAGCATAACATTATTTTGGGATGTTCAACCTAAACTAAACAATTGAACTTTCTTGTCGAATGTTTGACAGAAAGGGCTACCAAGAAGAAAGGAAAAGGTTTTGAAAATGTATTTTTAATGTAAACAGGTTTCTCTAATGATATAAAGTATGAACCTGATTAATGAAAAATAACTTATATGTAATTATCTGTACAAAATTACAATGATTTACATCTTATCAGTTACCACCATTAACAAGTTACCTGTCTTATCAGCAATCCGTAACTATTTATAGATTTTATAACGATATACAACATATATAAACATGTAGTCACGTGATTCTTACGAAAGACCAAGGAGCATTTGTTTATAATTAGATAAAATAATGTAATATAAAAGGTCTCATAAAAAATAAACAACCAAATAATTCTAAAGTGTCATTTCAAATATCATTCATGATTTATATATTATAAAATAGCAATGCTTGACACACAGAAAAAAGTAAAAGTATCTCTAATATTCAATGACTGATCCTTGGGGATACGTTATTGATTCATTTTATGAAAATTGTAATGTTGCTTTTTAAGACGTCAATATGTGCATATTTCATTCCACTGAGCAAAGTTATCATATGTTTGATTTTTTGTGATTACTGAAAAATAATTGTTGTCTTTAACTGTTCAATGTTTGATATGCTTTTATTTTCAGATTTTAAGGGCTTCTCCTACCATAGGTATAATATTAAACTATTACAAATATAGTCGCCGGTTTCTACCGGCGACTAATTAGAGATAAGATGTACAATTTTCAAAGCAATACAACACTTGCATTCAAACCGTTATTCTGCACTGTAGGAATCATCTCAGGTTTCCCTAAAAAAATTCTCTCCCAATTGATCCCTTACATACTTTACTCACTAAATATGTTTTTTTCTCTCCATGAGTAATGATTGAAACAAAAAAAATGTTTTTTTTTTAATGTGCAGCCTGACCGAGACTCAAACGTGAGACCCTCGGAATACCGTACTGCGGTTCTACTGACTGAGCTGTCCGGCCGCCTACAAACTACCTCCCGTGATTAGAGAACAGTTCAATACCGTGGCATAATCATTTCCGGAACAATTTGGGATTCGAACATACCACAACTTTGGGTCTCCAACATCATTTTACCCCATCTTGATACTATGTTTACCTTTTAGCCCTAATTGTTCTGGAATTTCATTCATTACACCCATTATCAGGAGATAATTTGGTAATCTGTTACTTGTCATTGTGGAAGGTCTGTAGAAATCTGTACGACAAGATTTTCAAAATAGAACATGTCCTATCCCTTACATCTAGACTTAAGGTTTACGAATTCAAGAAATAGTAGCATTCACACATTAAGATTTGCCTGTACATCTTAGTTTAAATTGGTGTTGTACTTCAAAATACTACCGTCTGTTGAGGCCTTAATTTAATCACTTCATTGCCCTGCTATTTCTCTTAAAAATGAATATGAAATACGACAGAATATCAGCATAATTACATGTAGATCTATAAAAATCTGTTGTTTGTTTAATATTATAAAGTGGTATTTCACTTCAAATGGTTTCAATTGGGCAATATTTAGTTTGCTAGTAAAATTACCCTTTTGACACCAACTTTGTTCTCATTTTTTCATTTTAAATGATAACATTTAAATATTGATCAGTTAGTGAATAACAAAAATCAAATTTTTATAATAACTGAGAACTTGTACGTGTGTGAGACGAACCCTAAATGACGTCAGTATGGACGTCTCCATTTTGAAATGGACGTCACGTCAGGTTACAACGTAAGTCAACGGGAAAAAGTTTAAACATTTTGATCATATTACTGACTTCATGCCTAGAGATATTGATGTCCGGTTTAATATGACATTAATTTAAATGATTTTACTATTATATTTAACAAAAAATGGCAGATTCAAATTTGGTGGGACAGACTAGTAACGTAAATGCTCTTTCATTATTAGTAACCTAGCTAAAATACATGTCTTAAACAACAGCAACGTGTACATGTGGGTCAATCGGAAGCACGTACAAAAAGGGTGACATATTGGTAGATGATCAAGTATGCGGAGTTTGTCTCAGTTATGGATTTGGCATACGGTGCTACGGAAGTGTAGGGACATGCGCTTTAAATGGTTGGTTTAATGTTTATTCTACGTTTAACATTTAAATACTAATGGTTAATTGCATTTGTTACATATATCATAAGCATCTCTTTTCTAATAAAATGATACAACAATCCGGGACTTTACTTGATATATGTTTCAGATTTTTAGATTTATTGGACCTCAGTGGAGTTCCTTTAACATACAATTTTATTTACATTTCTACAGGCACTGTGGCCAAAGCAGGTGACCCTGCATGTATGTACAACTTTAAGATATATTTAGTTGGAGAGGTCTTTGCTACGCTAGATGGTTGTAACAAATGTCTTTGTACAGAAAATGGCATGCAGTGTACAATGAAGGCGTGTAGTTCAGCAGGATTTAGTAAATATAATTAAAAACTTAACATGTCGTGTTCGAACTTTGCAATTCGGAAGTTTGGGGTGTTTTTTTTATTGAACATCCTATAAATAGTTAGCATGTGTAGCGCCGATATATGTCCAAACGTCGAAAAATGTCCAAACGACGATAAATGTCCAAAAATTGACGATAAATGTCTCAATCGCCGATAAATGTCCAAAACTCCTTTAACGATAAATGTCCAAAAATTAACGAAAAATGTCGCAACAAATTAGGTGCTCATAAATGTCCAAATCGGTTAACGATAAATGTCTCAACTTTTCATATGTTAATTTGTAATTTATTGTATTGGATACTGTAACAGTCTATCCAACTAACCCGTGATTTTTACCCTCTGGTTTACCCCCGACGTAAAATGTATCATACATTATTGTACATGGCCAGTTGCAGGTCCGGATGGGGCGCGGGGGGGGGGGGGGCATGTGCCTTCTTAACTCACCGAAGCAATACGTTTTAGCATTGTTTGTGTTCTTCAATATTTTTGTGCCCCATATAGCGTTGTCATTGTCCGTCCGAGTGTCTAAGGCCCGTATTCATCAGAATCGATACTTACACTCACACTCAATGAGTAAATCCCATATAATTGTCTAACGGTCAAGACAGTCCTCAACCTTTCAGTAAAGTGGTATTCAGGTTATAAGGTAAGTGTCGAGTGAACTCAGGAAAGTTGAGAATCTGTGAGATTAGGAGGGGGCTACCTTGAGGTGTTCTCAATAAAATAATTCTGAATTCCACTAAGTTTTAAGTATTGATTTTGAATTAATTTCGTCCCATATAGATATACATTTAAGTACATCATATACGCGAACTGACAGTATTTGAGGAAATAAATGTTGAAAAAATATACTTAAGGAAAGAGATGATCCCATTAAATTAATGTCAGAAGTTAAATTTTTTAACCGGAATGATACAAGTAGTATTCAGCTAGAGAGATATCAGTACATGTACTTATGCCAAAAAGAAGTGAATTTATACGATTATAAGTTAGAAATTTTTTTGAACTTCCATTTATCCATGAAAATAGCTGTTCCTCTGTTTGTCAATGTGACCGACGATGATTCTGGACTCAAGTCTTCGGACGATTTGTCGTATGCGTCTAAATAAAGGCCTATATAAAGTTGCATGCCTGCAGATGAGTAAAAATATTTCAATAAAATCAAACTTTTTGAGAAAGATGTACTAAGATTTTTGGAAAAGTAAAATGTTTTAAGATTCAAGTAATTTTTGTTATGTGCGCTTAATGATTGATTTTTCAGTATTTACAATATATTTATACTGCGTTACTAACGCAGTAAGGGCTATTTATGCATATTTTGACCACTTTTTTGGTAATTTACGAGGGACGTAAGTGCCATTGATAATGTGTAAATTGCTGATAATGTGTAAATTGCTTCATATTGGTAATTTCACAATATTGTACATTAAAATACATTTTCAAAATTTTCATGAAAATTAGCATGAATCTGGAGGCGTCCGCTTTAAACAAATGCCATTAAGTTACTTATTCTTTTGTTTTTGTAATTTTAAAAATAACAGTTAGATACAAAAAATAGCACACTGTTTGAATTTTGGGATTGACACAGAATTCCCAATCTATATATTTAGAAATATTTCAAAGGAAACATGACAGAAAACATAATTTCATGGCGTCATAAATAACCATGGTATAAAGTAAACTTTGGTGAGGTCTGACTATTTTAATTAATAAAAAAAAAATCGACGTAGCAAAACAATATCTTTAACATTTGTTTAGCATGATTTATATACTTGGGATTTTTGTGGAGGGGGGAGGCTGGATATGAACAAAATCATTAAAATGATAAAGATATTCTATATCTGCAATCACAAACAACACATATTTAAATAAAGCCATCTTATTAACGGGACGTTTTGCCTCATTCCTTTCTAATGCTTCAGAAAAAATATATAAAGACTATTTAAAGTTGCCCTTAACATGCAGTAATGTGCAATGAAGATAGGAAAATGTAAACCATGTAGTACTTTGACTTCTATACAAAATGATAATGCACTATGATTATACTCTTTGCATAAATAGGTTAGTTCAGAACAAGATATCAAGAATTGAAAAAAAAAGAGAAGAAAAAATGATATAATTACTGAGGCACAAAATTATTATGGGCCTTTAAAATGTCAAAAGATTATCAAGAAAAGGAAACGGAAGCGTTTATTGAAAATTCTTTTTATTTTCATTATAAATGGATGCTACTTTCAAAATAAAGTTTACGCTATTGATTTGTTATTTTTCCTCAGTTCTTAATGCCTTTCAGAAGCATTTCACTACTTTCTTTCGCTTCCTTTTTATGTCCTGTCTTTCAGGTTTTCCAACATTCAGTTGTTGCTATTCTGGCATTTACTACTTGAAAACTATTTAATTCTCTTTAAATTTCTCTCCATGCTTTTAATTTATCGAATACAAATTTAAAATCATGTTTGTTTTCTTTCACATTTAGATTTTAATAATTAATTATTTTCCATTTTTTTCCACTTCGGTGAAATACACTCTTTTACACAACATGGTAACATTTTTCCAATGTAAATTGAGTGATGTTATGCAATAAAACCGATCGGTCAACTTTTGAAGTCTTTCTCACGAGAGGTAAGGTTGAGTGAACAAAATGAATACCACTTTGCGCATCGTGAGTTACTTACCCTAAGTCTACTCCAGCGTTACTTGAGGTGACCTTTCGTGAGTCCAACTCGAGATTGAGATTAAGACGGGCCTAAGTGTCCGTCCCGAAAGTTTGTGAACGGTATAGGGGCGTGGACAGAGTTGCATATTCCTTTACTGTCAAGTTAAGAAAAATATGCAACTCTATCTGGCAAACAAACAGTTAACCTGTATAAACCATGTGAGCTAATCGAGGCGTTAACTGCTTTGACAGTTAAAATCTGACCTACTGATTCAACAGCGAACAGTGCAGACCTTGACAGGATGACGCATTTGCTTGTCGGGAATATAGTTCGACAATGGTCGTTATAAGCATATACGCAACACGTGTTAAATGGGGTTTGTGACTTTTCTCTTTAGTGCTGCGAAGACGGTCCTTCTCATGCTACATTGATTTAAGACATTTGTATTTGATTATTACTCATTCGCGCGTGGTGGACTGAACGCCACTGCGGGGCCACCGCCTTATAAATACAGAGTTTTGGAAGGCTACTTACATGTATCCCTCCAGTGTCGACCCAGATCAGTTTGCACGCAAATGCGTCACCAGATGAGGGTATGCGCTATTAAACACCAGTAATTGGTAGTTAAGGTTTTGTATGTCATCTACTAGTCATGACCAACCTCCACACCAAATATGAGGACCATCAGCCAAAGCATTGTCTAGTTATTGAGCGGAAATGGCATGGTCTACGGACCGACGGACCGACCGACCGACATGGGCAAAGCAATATACCCCCACTTCTTCGAAGGGGGGCATACTTACTTATTGTATTTGACTTTTTTTATCGTTGGTACCGGTTTCCCATATGACCAACGTCCCCTGAAAATTGTTAGTATATTATTTTTCGGGGGATAGTGCATGATACAGAAGACGCCCCGTTCCAGAGGCGACCCTGGTTCTTTTAAGTGCCCGGTGTAAAGCACCAGTACAATGCACATCGGTTTAACTTATTTCTTTTCCCTTTTAATAGTAAGGGAGATAGACTGTATCCAACAATCAACTTATTTTCAAATACATTTTTTTAACTTTTTTAACAATCTCACAAGCATCCCGCTAGAGTCCCGGTGGTCGGTCGGTGATCCAGGAACGACCGGGGTACGTCCGTAACTCTGTCGGCAACGTTCGGGATGATGAAGGGCTCTGCTGGGGCTCTAACGGTGATTGCCGGCACTCTATCTGACCGTACCGGGGCTCTGCCGGGATCATCCGGGAATATGCCGACATCATCCAAGGCTGTGCTAGCCTGGATCTCAGTTTTTATGATCTCTTTGTTCGAAGACTAAACAGCGTTTGAATATCGTGTTAGGTCATCCGTCGTCCACTTACTATCTGCATTATCCGTAGTTTCAACTGGACTCTGGATGGATGGCCCGGAGTTCATCCTGGTTGTTATAAGTATGGAAATTGGGTATCGCCGTAGTGCTACCGGGGTTATATAGACTGCAACAATATTTTCATCCCGGATCGTTTTGGGTGGTCCTGGGCTTTGCCGGGATGCTGGTGAGAACGCTACTTAAATCGGTACTTTTAATCCCTATGGAAACCTTTATAACTGACTGATGCATTACTGTTGATCATAGAAATAAGTGCAATTAACATATGAAAAGTTGAGACATTTATCGTTTACCGATTTGGACATTTATGAGCACCTAATTTGTTGCGACATTTTTCGTAAATTTTTGGACATTTATCGTTAAAGGAGTTTTGGACATTTATCGGCGATTGAGACATTTATCGTCAATTTTTGGACATTTATCGTCGTTTGGACATTTTTCGACGTTTGGACATATATCGGCGCTACAAGCATGTTTAGTGGAGAATTTCAAGCAGCACGCTTCCATATTTGTGCTTATTTTTATGAAAATTTTGAAAAAGTATTGAAAAAATAAAATATTGTCACATTACAAACAGCACATTCAATCCAAGTAAATTATCAAATAAATGTCAAAACATGCAAAAATAGCATTTACTGTGTTAGTCATGCAGTAGGAATATTATGGTAATAAATACTGCAAAATCAGTCATTCATTGCATATAACATAATTTATCAATCATTACATGTACTTGAATTGTGATTTTTTTTCTTTTCTTAAAGTATTAGTTCATTTTTCTCAAAGCTGATTTTCTTAAAATGTTGCACATTTAAACATGTCTACCCTTAATTGGTCAAACATTTGCTCACTTTTATTATAAATACCTTTGGGTTCCTTTCCTCATTTATATTATGTTAAAAGTAATTCAAACCTCGAAATTGCTTCGGTTGTATTAAAGGAACTCCACTGTGGTTCATAAGCCTCAAGTCATAAAATTTTAATTTCTCACATAGATCAACTGGTGCACCTAAAACGGAAATATATACAAAAGATAATAAGAAATATACCAAGAAATACACTGAAAATCGTATGTTTGTGTTATTCTCAGTCCGATTTGAGTGAAAAGCGTTTAAACGCTTTTCAATTTCAATTTTTGACAATTTAAACAATCATTCTGGAAAAACGAAGCGAGCTAATGATCTGAAAATTTGCACATAAATTGTTGGTATAGACCTACATCAGATGAAGTAATTATCTCAAAAAATATTTCCAGTCCCGTCATGTCAAAAACCCTCAATAGAGTCCCTTTAAAATCTATAATAATTTGTACAACGTTATTGTGGACGTCAAAAAAGTGCAAATCTTAACAATATGTCTGTTCTCGAGGTTATAACACATTTATTTCTTCTGAAATCTTGAATCATAGGATTTCCATTGGCTAAATTACATCTTTGCTGGTTTCGACCAATTAGGTTCTGTGATCTAAGTTTGAGATTAGAAACTTCCTTATAACCCCGGACCTTTGTGTCATATGAGGGAACATGGTTTTGAGACTAATTAAAACCAATCGCATCTTCCCGGCCCTTTACGTCAAACTCCGGTAATAAAATCTTGTAAATACATGTAATAGTCAAGGAGTTCCGATATTAGACTCGAACCAAAGATAATGGGATTTGAAAGGTAGGCACCTATAACCACTAAGCCTTCGTTCCTCATTGTGTTTACTTTTATATTTCTAGCAACGCCATCTGATTACGGGGGAGAATGCTTGTACAATAATGGATATTACAAACGTCATACCCAGTGGATGGCACGTGATGGATGTAACACGTGTTACTGTCATTATATTGGGAGCTACCAGGAAGCTTATGAGTGCACAACAAGTACATGCCCTTGCAATGCGGTAAACCAACCTGAAATCACGGGTTAATTTGGAACTGCTATACTTTTATAGAAATCATATGCTAAATAAAAATAAGTTAAGCTTATTTCTTTAAGTCTTAAAGACGTTGTTAAAGTCGTATGGCCACTTAAAATATGAAATTAAGACTTTCTATTTGAAAGACCCCGATTAACCTAACAATCACAAATGAATGCCATTGGCTTATATAATTAGGGAAAATCTGGAGACGTTCCAAATATTACACTTTGCACGTGAGTAACTCTGATAAGGTTTGAAAATTCTCTCCTTTTAAGAATAGGAAAATCTATCCTTTCTATAGATTGAAGGTTTTGTTTTCGTCTTAACCTAACCTAACGCCACGTCACGTTAACGTATTGATCAAGAGAAGTGGAGAAGTTGCTGTTGCAGATTGTTTGGATATACTCAAGTACACTTCAACAAAAAGGGTGTTTTTTTGTTTGTTTGTTTTTTGGAGGGAAGGGGGTGCGTTGGGGGCGGGGGTGTGTTTAAGTACTAGCAAGTGTCATGGTTATATAGCGAATTTCCAGCTTTACTGTTTTAGGAAGACCTCGGGTTCCTTCGTAAATTATTTCAGGCACGAACGGGTAGAACCACCGACATTCCGGATAGCTTTCCTCATATGAAAGAATCCTGGCGAGATTTGAACACACAACGGTGTGGGACAATCGGTTTAAAGTCAATGACATTAACCACATGGTCCCAACTGATAAAGAGTGACTTCATAACAAATTCAACACCGTATAAGGTTTATCCACTCGGCCATGGACGCCCCAACTGATAAAGAGTGACTTCATAACAAATTCAACAACGTATAAGGTTTATCCACTCGGCCATGGACGCCCCACCTGATAAAGAGTGACTTCATAACAAGATCAACACCGTATAAGGTTTATCCACTAGGCCATGGACGTCCCAACTGATAAAGAGTGACTTCATAACAAAATCAACACCGTATAAGGTTTATCCACTAGGCCATGGACGAACCAACTGATAGAGTGACTTCATAACAAAATCAACACCGTATAAGGTTTATCCACTCGGCCATGGACGTCCCAACTGATAAAGAGTGACTTCATAACAAAATCAACACCGTATAAGGTTTATCCACTAGGCCATGGACGTCCCAACTGATAAAGAGTGACTTCATAACAATTTTAACAACGTATGTTTATCCACTCGGCCATGGACGCCCCAACTGATAAAGAGTGACTTCATAACAATTTAAACAACGTATGTTTATCCACTCGGCCATGGACGTCCCAACTGATAGAGTGACTTCATAACAAAATCAACACCGTATAAGGTTTATCCACTCGGCCATGGACGTCCCAACTGATAAAGAGTGACTTCATAACAAAATCAACACCGTATAAGGTTTATCCACTCGGCCATGGACGTCCCAACTGATAAAGAGTGACTTCATAACAATTTAAACAACGTATGTTTATCCACTCGGCCATGGACGCCCCAACTGATAAAAAGTTTTGTTTGTTTCTTTGTTTGTTTCATTTTACGCCTTTTCCCAACAGTATTTCAGTCATATAGGCGGGTAGTTTCCTAACCATCGTTCCTGTAGAGTTACACCAGTACTAGACTACCTTCCTCCGTGCTAAACTACCAAAGCATCTCCCAGGGATCGAACCCACGCCAGAGAGGTAACTGGATTAGAAGTCATCGACTCTAACCCCTCGAGGCGGTCCTGATAAAGAGTGACTTATAACACAAATCAACAACGTATAAGGTTTAACCACTCAACCATGGATGCTCCAACTGATAAAAGAATGACATAATAACACAAAATCAACAACGTATAAGGTTATCACATTATTTTATTTCTTTTTTAAAATATCTCTTTTTCTTGTATCAATTTGTAGCATACAATATTTCTTCCCCCTTTTTCTGCAATGAGTGTAACATGCTATACAATACATGTTACAGTCTTAACTGACGGAAGAATATGAACCTATAAAATAAACACTGAACATTTTTCTACACACCAACAAAGACAAAAAACATCGTTTTTGTCTACGCTTTCACAACATTGATCAATGGAAGACATTAAAATACACTGGTGATATGGCATACAAAAAAAATAGCCATGGGTGAAAGAGCAACTAAAACAGTTTCTGTCAATTAAAACAAACTATGTCCATTTTTTTTTTGTCTTAAAACAAAGCACTATTTAACTTTGACAATGTGTAAAATGTAATTTCATAACCATCTACCCCAAGAGTTAACATAACTGTGTTAAATTACAATTCGTTACCAGTTTTGAAATAAAATTAGGAGTAAAATTTCCCTTTTACTATATTAACTTGACTGGAGCACCAAACTATATTAATAAGTTTATATTTGCTAAATTGATAAAAGTAACCACAGGTTGGGTAGAAAACTCATCTGATCTCCTATTTCTAATGCCTGGGAAGGGCTTAATATAATGTTGTAAGAAATTGTTGCCCAACCCATTTGCATTTTGATATATACTCATTAATTGTATATGTATTTAATGCAATAAAATATGTTTAAACTAAATCTGATTACCTACATTATTTCATATTCGTTGAAAAACAACAATTTTTTAATAAAGGCAAAGCTGCGTTTTTCTTTGCAAATTGGGCATCTGAAAGTGAACCTCTTTCACCCATGAACAGTTCAGGTTTCCCATGCATTTGTAATGATCATGGTAAATTTATACAAATAATGATGAGGATGATTATGATATAGTCAATATATAAATTAAACTTTTTAATCAATTAAAAACACTATTAAAATATCAAAGTTATATGACAATATCATGTTATTTTGTTTTGTGACAAACTTCAATACACTTTGTTATAATAAATTGAAAGTCCCTTTGCCATTGGTCAATTATTTATTTAAATACAAGCCAACCAATCAAAATGCAAGGTTAGACTGTATTTACACGTCAACAGTGATAGCTGCTTTGCTATTGGTCTATCTTCAATGCCATTTGAACCAATCAGATTACAAGAATAACGGACTGTAAGCAATGAAATCAATGTTTTCAATGGTTAAGCTTTAAGTGGGTTTAACCAATCAGGTGGCAAGATTAAAAAAATAATGTTTACTATATTAAGCAGTTAAAAAAAATCTTTGTTATTGGTGTCCACTAAAACTAAGTCTAAAATAATCTACTTTATTTGGTGAAAGCAGAAGATCAAAATTAACACAAAAGATTTTGAGCAACTTCACAATACAGAGCAGTTTTTTATGTTGGCCAGTGAAATATTTCCTATTTACAACTCTAGAGGGTCCAAAAAACATTGAAGCAAACTTGCAAAAAAAGAAGCAATAGGCTCTTAATGGCAAAAGCAATTTAAGAATGGTGTTGTGCTTGCTAGTTTTTATGATCCATCCTATAGAGCATGTAGAACAAGTTAAAAGGTTAACAAGATTGTCAAACTTCTAACCAGTGCACACAATTCTGATTTTGAGTAAGCTGCACAAAACTAAGGCTACATTTCTAAAAAATAACAACAAAAAAAAGACTCCTTCAAAAGATTAAAATAAAAGAATTTTAACCTCTGTTTTACACATTAAATCACTTACTTTTAACAAATCAATCTAATGTTTCATATGAGCGTTGGAAATCAAACACAAAATAAATTATGAGCTTTTCAGTGTTTCTTGTTTATATAAAGAGCTATGGCAAAATATATTCCCTGAACAAAATTTCCAACCTGTTCTTGGTAAAACAAAAAACAAAAAGAAAATATGTTTTACAGAAAAAAAATTGTCTTGCATATTCCCACTACAATTTTCAGGAGATCTTATACACACACAAATATATCCCCTCAGCCCAATTCAAATGCCTCTCCCCCAATCCAGTTTGCTATCTACACTGCTATACACAATTTGAATAAAAAAAGAAACTTTACACCCTGTGTTTAAGCATTAATTATGTAAACTTTTGCAAGGAATGTAAGAAAGATAAAGCAATTATGTATTGAACTATTAATATCATGCATGCTTAGAAAAAAAAACTTACAAATTTATTTAGACCAATGCTGGAGCCTTTTATTTCTCCTATAGATTAGATAAAAAATACAAGGAAAGAGATAAAGAGGACATTATAGCTTTGAAAATTTGCAAGAAAAAAAAATAAGTAGAAAAAAATCTTATACAGAAGATTATTATTATTATTATAACAAAGGAAAAGGTAAAGAAAAACCTTATAGGTAAAAAGCTGAGAAAGTCTTTAAATTGATTGCAAGGTTGCATGGTTGAAACACTGACCTCTGAATAAAAGTTTTTAGTAGTCATCATCACATAAAACTGTATGTATACCTGTTAGTTCTAAATTAATATAATGAAATGATGACCTGGACAGATTCAATACAATCTTGCTATTGTCTCTCCCATGTTCTAAGTAATTATGGTGAATGACCAATGGATGGTGGGCTGTATCTAAATCCTATGAGTATATATCATCAAGTGTTGGATGTGCCTTAAAGGTATGCTTCAAACTATGATTAAACTAACCTCAGCTCCGATTCTGATGAGATCAACCTATACAGCAGTAAATTAATAAATTTCGAGGGTTGAACGCAAAACTGTTGTAAGACCTTCTTTATTTCATAAAAGGTTACTGCTGTTTTGCCGTCAACCCTCAAACTGACTATACAACTGAATACACAACGGACATAATTCATACAAGACAGAAGTGTTTATAAATTTCACTGCCTCTTCCCGAAAAAAATTGTAAAAATCAAGCTGTAAGGTAACCTGACTCGAATGCCACAAATATCTGTACTGGAACTAGTTTTTTTGTTTGTTAGCTATCAATATGTCATGATTCATGAGCTGACTTAGCGATAAAATAAATTCCTCCAAACTGCAAAAAAAATATAATAGAAACCGTGAACGTGAACTCTTAATGTGTTTGCAGTTAATTATACGTTATAGTTCAGTACTACTACCTTTGTTTCTGTAATTAAATCTCAAATATAAACTTTTACGATAATTAAGTCCAGGTTAATTGTATGATTATAGTCCATCTGACAGAAATATACAAAATCTCTTGAAAACAATCAAAGTTACAAAATTGATGATTCTCCCTTAATAACATATGAGCCGCGTCACGACAAAACCAACATAATGGGTTTGCGACCAGCATGACTCCAGACCAGCCTGCGCATCCGCGCAGTCTGATCAGGATCCATGCTGTTCGCTATCAGTTTCTCTACTTGTAATAGGGTTTGTAAGCGAAAAGCATGGATCCTGATCAGACTGGGCGGATGCGCAGGCTGGTCTGGATCCATGCTGGTCGCAAACCCATTATGTTGGTTTTGTCATGACACGGCCCATATATTGTTTTTCTGTAAGTTTCGCAAACTTTACCACAATATATAAAATGTAACATACATAAATAATAATATTTAAATAAACATAATTATAATTCAAATAAACAATAGTGCTATAACATTATTAAAGCTCCTACAACGCAGTAAGTTTCCTTAAATCTATAAATAGAGCAAACCAGTCTTAAATCTATAAATAGAACAGTATTTTGCAGAAAGTTGCATAATGCTTAGCATAAATTTCATATACGTAAAAAATTATTCACAACATAAAAATCAATTATTATTTGCAGTGATTTTTACATCTTGACTACGGCACTGATATACGGTTTGCAGTGTTTCTTATATCTTGACTGCGGCACTAATTTAAGATTTGCCGTGATTTTTACGTCTAAACTGCGGCACTGATTTACGATTTGCAGTAATTTTTACATCTTAACTGCGGCACTGATTTACAATTTGCAGTAATTTTTATATCTTTACTTCGGCATTGATTTATCAGTTTCAGGAACATAATGCCTTATACAAGCTCAACAATTATCTCATTTTTGCTTTGATTTCTTGTGTAAAAATCAGTATGTAGGTGAGCATGATTCGCAGATTATTAATGTAAATTCTGATTAAAAATGGACATAAAACAAAATTTTAGTCACAAAAAAAAATACTATCAAAGAGATCAAGGTTGTGGAGAAATTAAAAAAATGAAAAAAAAAAAAATTAAATTTTCAACATGTCCTAAATAACAAATAAAACTGTTTTCCCAGCATTGTTTCAAGATTGTCTTTACATCCTTTGAAACTATTCTATGATTATTTTGTAATGTAATATAATGATTGACAAATAACTTAAACCGAAGGAAGGTTGTTTTTTGTTCAGTTTAAAGCCACAAAGACACTATTAAAGGTCAAACAACAACTTTCCTGCTTTACTAGCCAAGGAACACCACAGTGCCTCTTAGTGTATTTTCAGGCATAGGCGGGCACCTGAGAAGAATGACCAACCTTCCTTAAGCTAATAATAAACAGAGATGTGACTGATTCTACAGTTTCTTGCAAAATGATCAATACTCAAATAAAATAATAGAGTAAACAAAACATTTTTGACAAATCCCTTACGTTTGTGATCCATTGTTTATACAAGAAAAAAAAACCCATGACAAGACAGCGAAAACATACAGAACTTTTTTAAAAGTTATTAACTTTACAAATGACAGTAAAAAAAAGAAAAAAGCCCACATTACTACATTTCTTTGAATCAGGTTTACCAACACAGTACAAACAGCTACAAACATAACATTTAAGTACATGCAAAGCAGTATTTCTTGTAAGCATTTCAACCAACAGTTCAACCAACATGTGCTTCTTTCCAACTGAAAACCATAAAGTTGACAAAATGCTAAGTAGAAAAGGAACACAAATTCAAAAGTAATAATTAATACAGAAATAAATTACATTTAACAGTCTACATGTAGTAGTTGAAATATTTTAAAGGATGAAATTTAATAACCAAAACTCATGCCAAGACACTTGCATTTTTTAAAATAAAATGGAAACCCATAGAAACCAACTGAAATTTGTAACTCGACTGTACATTTCTTGTACAGTAAAGTACTAAAATTAAATCTCATCTCTTAAAATGACACAATAATAAACAAATCTTATCTTTTTCTTTTATGTGGGATGCTTTTGTTTTGTCTGTGAGAAATATCATATCCCATTGCATGTAGCTTATATAGTCTATATTTCACCACCTAGTTCATTTGGAAAGAAGCATAGTTAGATTAACATGGTTGAAAAAAAAAAGGTTGAGAATAAGTAACAAAAATATTGCACACTTTTCCTGCTTGTTTCACGTTACAACCAGATTTATATTGAATCATTTCCTTATCAAATTTTTTCTTGCAAAAATACTATAAAAGTCAAACAATACTCTCAGGATACACTGCAAATAACATTCTCAATTTCACCAAATTTTGATAATAATAACTGTTATAAACAATATCCATTAGAATAAGTAGATAAATTTCTCTGATCTCTTGGACAAGTCTGTTTAACCATGTTGATATTTGACCCTGTTTCTTTTTATTTTGTACGCAATTTAATCTTTGTCTGATGACATCATTAACTATGTCATATGTTACACTTTGCTTGATGACATCACTAAGTCATTTGTTTACAAACTTTGCCTGATGACATCATTAACTATGCCATATGCTGACTTTTGGAATCATATCCATGATGTAATAATAGAAACAGTTCTTTTATCTATCTTTTCGTCAATGCTTTCATCATTTCTTTTTCCAAACACGACATGAAAATTTCACAAAATGTGAAAATAATTAAAAATACTTCTTTTAAAGAATGTAACGTTGAAATGACAATTTTTACACAGCACTTCATTATTTCATTATATACAAACTACTTAAAAAATCTGCTGTAGTTATACTCCATATCAAATCACACTTTCTGCATTTTCTTTTTTTACATTTCTCACCAAAGGAACTTTGTAATTCATAATTTCAAAATAATATAAATCATTTCTAAGCAGTCTTTTTTCCCATACAAGTCACAAATCAATTATTAAAATGCCCTTATTCAAGCCCTCCTAAGTGTTTACACATTTTGTGTAGTGAACACAATACAATGGTTTCTAAAAATAACTCATTTCAATTCTATTTTTATCTCAAAATTCAGCAATTCTTTGAAGAGTTCTCTCCCTCTATACTATTTTTAAACATTATTCTTACACTGGCATGAGGAGTTTCTATTTTTAGATAATAACTCCATATCGTATATACCTTAATTCAAGACAAGCCTCACACACACCTCAACAGCAAACAAAGAGATTATCACCTCTCCCTTTTGCCGTTATCACCTGCTTTGTCTTTGTTGTCACCTGCTTTGACTTTGTTATCACCTGCTTTGTCTTTGTTATCAACTGCTTTGCTTGTAAGCGTGCAGCTGATTTGTCTATGGCTGACGAGGTTGAATAAATAATATTTTGTCCGTTTCTATATCCATGAAATGTTTGTGTGAAGTACATGCTGTGAAGTGAATCATTACACTTTTTTATCTCTCTATCCTACTATAGTAGAATATTCATCTTGAAGTCCTAGGCTCCGTTCTCTATCTAAAAACTAATAAGAGCGAATATCCGAGCAATCCGACACTCTTCGATTATGTATTTTCCGAAGTGCTTCATTTAAGTTGGCAGCGTATAAAATAATGAATACTTTCTATTCATATTTTTTTAAAAAGAGTTTTATGAAGATATGATATTGAATATCCGCTTCAGAAAAAGTCGTTACTACTTCTTCCCATTGGCACAAGATTCTCAACACGCCGTCTCTGGCTTCTACGTACAGCATCGGCACGTCTGTATGGCTCGTTTTTCAAATCTGAAAATTTTGATTAAAAAATATTGTTATGAAACAGTTAAAAATTTGATATTTCACCCTTCAAAATGCAAAGGCTGGTTTTATTTTTTTACCATTTAATAAATTCAGACTTCCATTACTTTAATTAAAGTGAAATCAGCATACATTTACCTACATTTAGTGACCTTTGTCACCAACATGTTTATCTAAATTTTATTTGTTAAATAATGGTAGGGCCAGACTTGTTCAAGTTCCAAAAAAGTTTCTTGTAACAATCAGCTCATGTATTGGTCTTTAAAATAAGTTTAACATTTTATAGGGATTTCCTTCTTTTATGTAAGTTTTATAACTACAATGTGTTGGCCTTCTTTTCTTGACGGATTCAAGAATGAAAATTTCTAATTAATTAATTTAATATTGTTAACCATTTACCTGCTGAAATTCTTACTGGACTTACAGAGCTTCAATCAACTGGGACAGTCTACTTTTAATTTTGGGGGATATCAAGATGAAAATTTTAAATTGATGCACAGATGTGCAGACTGGCCTTGTTCTAAACTGGTGGGGGGAGGGGGGAGGTTCAAACCAAGTAATCACAGCACAGCTTACCTAATAAGATATCCTCTAAAGCACCATGATAAACTTCATCCTTGTTTAATAATTTCTTCTCCTTGATGTTACGGTTCCTCTGCTTTAACTCCGTCACCATTGCCTCCTAATATAGAACAGTAAAAATGTTTATAAATCATGTCACTTGGGTCAAAATTGATCCAACCTTAGGGGTCTCTTAGTCTTAGTTTACATAGAATTAAATGGTAAAAATGTCTTGATAATATATTTCTCATAAAGTACAATGCTTTACATATTTGGCAAGCAGAATCACCTAGTGGCCATATACAAAAGTATTTTAAATCATGTCCCTGGGGTCAAAAATGACCCTGCCCTAGGGATCACTTAGTTTGCTTGTATAAGAAAATTCTTTTAAAGCAATATGCCATCAGATTCATGGTAATTTTCATAAACATTTTGAAAATGTATTTAAAAGTAAAATATTGTGAGGTGAGTACGCTATTTACACATTGCAGATGACACTTACAATGCACATAAATTACCAAAAAGTAGTCAAAATATGCCAAAATAGCCCTTATTACCTGAACCACCTTTTTATCTTTCTTGTTATTAACCATTGGCATTTCATTGTGACCATAGGCAGCTGTCTCTTGCCTTCTTCTCTTCTCATTGTCCAACAATGCTTGCTGTTAATGTAAATACAAATATACATTAATCAGAGTACATCACATGTTTTCAAATGTGTATTCAAACCATTCAAGGCGCATAAAGGTAGTCTTACATTATGCTTTTCCACCAAACAAATTTAACATCAGCCAATACTGGTTATTTCAAGAATGTTATTTTTTCAAAATCTTGGACATTACATTATTTACAATCACTCATGAGAACCCTTTATCGCTATATACTAAATTTCCAATTATAAACAGTTAAAAATTATTGAATACTGACAATTGTGAAAAATAACTTTCCAGAAATGACAGATTTATTATGATATTTAACTGTCATGACATGATAATTGTTGACAACTTTTGAAATGTTTGAATAATGGGCTACATTAAAGTTTTAGCACAACAACATCGAAGCAGTAATCATATTAGCTTGACTATTTCTTCGAAACAGACATGCTAAAAAATCAAGTGTTTCAACATATTCAAATATGGCAAACCTAATATTCAAATACAAACATCAGTATTTTTTGGCCTTCCCCAAAAAAACATCAAAGCTTACCCTGAATGCGTTCACAAATCTCACAAATTGTGCAAAGAATGTGGAAGGTGAAACACTTCTGGGATTTTCTCCGAAATATTCCACGACCCTTTTATACGAATCTTGTGCCGTTTTCACATCACTCAGTAATTTGCGTAGTTTCTCCTCGGAGTTAGCGAGGAAATCTTTGAGAATGTGCGGCTGGTCTCTAGAAGATCGCCGCAGGTCGTACTCTCTCTTTGTTAACTCCATACCTTTCTCAAGCTCATGTACATCTGTGGTGATGTTTTCCATCGAAACTTAAAGAAAAATAAATACAAGAAAACTGTTATAAAACATTACAAATAGCAAATATCTCCATCAAAAACTTAAGATAAGACGAGATTTTAAAGCTTGAAAATATCAAACTTTGAACAAAAAAAAAATGTTTTACTTTATACAGAATTTATCTTAAGTCTAATTGTGTAGGGAACAAAATAGCTTATAAACAAACTCACAAAATATTCGTGGAACCAACCCATTCTGAGCAATGAATGCAATGTTTCTTGCTTAAAGAAACAACAGCTTTCCATTGACAGGGTTTGAACCCACACAGTTTGGGATACTTGGATCACTACTCAAGTGTGTTAAAGGCCCATTATGTCCACAAATGCTTTTATTTCTATTTTGCCATTGGAGTCCTGTTATAGTTTACAACAAAATATTCATTGGTCAATTATCTGAACCATCTTTTGTTTGGTTGCCTTTTGGAAATTATTACAGACCACAGTTATATTGATAAACAATTTTGTATCAAAGTCAAGATACTAATTTGTTTACAAATAATTTTACATTCAGCACTGCTTTCCTATGATGATAAACATCTAAACATGTTCTAAAACCATTTTCAAACGTCATGAAACTTACCTTTACCCCTTCTATCTAAAGAAGGAAAAAATCATTTGTTTCTGAGGCATAATGTGCCTTGAATTTTTCCTAAATGTCAAAAAAAGACAAAAAGTATTACCTAAAGCAGCCTTTTCTATAAATCTCAGTTCAGACTCGAAGTTAAGAATCTCTGGGAATTTTTCCTGCACGGTATCTACCAGGAAATGCATCAAGGTCAGTTTCTTGTCTGCTGTTTTAGTATCCAATAACTGTAATAGATAAAACTTTTTAATAATACATTAAAGAAGCTGAATATAGCTTTTTCGAGAAGATTATATCTGATTTCTTCAGTCTTGTGTAAAAAACAAACTCCTAAAATAACTTTTAACTTTCCCAAAATTTAATGTTTTTCGGTTGTTTTTTTGGTTTTTTTTTTTTTAATTTTATTTATTTATAAATTGTAATCACATGAAATAGTTCAATGCAGGTATTATGGCAACTTTCCAATTTTCTTAGACTTTTCTAACCCCATGGGCCCGTTTTCTTTTCTTTTTTCTGGTTGGGTTTTACGTCGCACTTTCCAGCTTTACTGATGGAGGAAGACCTCAGGTGCATTTCAGACAAAAGTGGGCACCTGAGAAAAAACAACCAACCTTCCCGTAAGCCAGCTGCTTAACTTACTCACATGAAAGAATCTACAGCCCATATAGGAATTCGAACCCACAGTGATAAGAAGCAAATAATTGGCTTTCAGCAACATTATCCAAAAGATGACAGAAGCCCAGTGAACTGATAAATATCATGCAATTAACACTTTAATTATATAAATTATGCAATTTAAACCATATCTTATAATAGAATTTATATCATAGTTACCATATCTAAACTCTGCAGTTTAAAACCATATACAGCTCCTCTCTTTGAACTGTTCATATAATTTCCGAATGCTAAAATAATCTGTAAACAAAAAACATATACAATTTGCATTTTAACTAAAAACAATCGTTAATTAATTACCAGTACCAATACATCATCTAATGTTTAACATCGAGTAATCAGAGACTGACAATTCCACTTGTCTGCTCGTAATTACGAGTAGAATTTAAGAGAACTTGACGCAGGACGAGTAGAAAAATGTTGCCTGCACATTGAATTTAGAAGCTACTCATCCTGCAGGATAAGTGACTCTGAAAATGTTTTTCGATGCCTGTCATTATCTATTTTGTAAGAGTATATAAATGAATTTATTTTTTTAATTTACTGAAAACAGTCTGGTTTCTATCATTTATCCTCTCTAAATATTGTTTTAGATTTAATTTTATTGTGAACTCTCACTGGATGGGTGATATCTACCAACATTTTCAAATAAAGACAACCACATTATTTGTGTTTGTTTTTTTCAAGCTAAAACCATTATGGTGATATTTCACAAAAAAAAATCTTAGTTTAACAAGAAATAGGGATATCATGTTCATACCTCTAGAAGTTTTCTGACTTTCTGTGAGTTCCTTAAAGACATAGAGGCAGCTATACACGCATTGATTTGCTGAAAAATAAATGTCACAGTCATCTTAAAGTATTCAGTAAAAAGAGACCAAAAATTTTGCATAACAAGGAATATCTTTTTCTAATGATTTAATGTTGAAGGTCCATTAAGTCCATTAAAAAAGCTACTATTTTTAGATTTTTCAAAAGCTTTCCACTTTTGGTCTCCTGTTACAGTTTTTCGCTTTCCGCTTTCATCTAAATGATGGAAAATGATAAAACATAAAAATATGTCTGGAAAATAAAGACAAAAAACAAATTAAACTTATGTTTGGGTAATAAAGAAATGATTAAACAAAAATATTTTGGGAAAATATTTACAAATGAAAAAAAAAAAATATTTTGGAAAATAAATACAAACCTTTCATTTTTTTAAAGGGGTCAGTTGGTTGACTTGTTTTAGGCTTAAATAGGTTTTAAATGGGGGGACTTGAGTGGATGTTACTTAAATTGGTTTTTTTCAACAAAAAATGCTTAATCTTTGGAAACTTTTTTAAACTGCCCCCCTGTTTTTGGAAAAAAAAACTTGGGTGTCTCCATGCACTAAAAAAACCCTTCCCGAAATTTCTTCTTTACACCTTATATAATTCCTAATCAACCCTTAAAGGGATTCCAGTCCACCACAGCGAAAGACAAGAAAATCAAAACTTTTTGATATTTACAAGAGGAAAAGGGGTATAATTTTCTCCAAAGAAAACATGTGTCCAAAAAAGGGGAAATAATGGTTAACTAGTACTTTGTGTCAATGCAAAATATAAAAAGTTAGGTTTAAATATAGAATGTTAAAATGATATATTCCACAGTGTAATGTTGATACCCACGTTAGAAAGACTTCTCTCCCTATTATATCAATATAATAGCCAAACTAAATCTTTTCTTTTATTGTTGGGGCTTGATATCAAAACAGTAAATGTCAAAATTAATGGCCATTTTCAAGCTATATTGGTGAAGGAAGACAAAGGTACCCTTCCCTACATTATTTCATACAAGCACACGCACCTTAGTAGAACCATCAATGTTTGCTCCCTAAGCTAGCTAGATAGCTTCCTCACATGAAAGAATCCAAAGTGCCTCATGTGATTGAGAGTGAGACCTACATCAGTGAGGGAAAAGTGGCTTGAAGACCAAAACCATAACCACTTGGCCATGTACAGCTAAAAATTGTATAAACATTATTTTAACAAGCTTACCTGCCACATAAACTTGTCCTCATCTGATAACATATCTATAGGTTTCCTGTCCTTCTCATATAGCTTGAATGCTTTAATCTGAAAACAATATTCAAGCAAAATATCAATAATGAAGCAAAATATTTAATATTGTAGCAAAAAATTAATAATGAAGCAAAATATCAATATTCAAGCAGAGAAGCAAAATATCAATATTCAAGCAGAGAAGCAAAATATCAATATTCAAGCAGATTATTAATGGAAGAATAATTTTATGGCTATGCTACAGTATTTCAGGTAAAGTTTGATGGACAATTACCTAACAAGGCAAGTTTGCTGTATTAAGTTCCAGTACAAATTGCAATGAAAAACAAATTTTCAGATCATTACCAGTACCCCAACATAATAATTAATTTCCTAGTGCAACATGACCCAAATATAAAAGCATTGTAATGCTTTTCGACAATCACACTAAAAAGCTCCAAAAAAGCTTCCCTTGCTTTTAGTGAATATTTCATATTTGATGTTTTTAGGCTTTTTGACTTCAGTCGAGCTCCTTTAATAAATTAAGTTGGAAATGTATATATTTTAGTGATACTTACCTCTTGTTCATTAGGTAGGACTGTTTGAAGAATATCAACAATATCTATGGAAAGAACCTTCAAATCTATACTGTAATACAAATAAATAAAACATTTTTACATCTTAAAATATAATCATTCAAGTAATATATGAATGACTGAAATGTTGGTCTTTTTTCACTATGACACATGCAGATTTGAAATATTTTTAGCTATAAACTTTGTTTGTTAAGGCGTTTGACTAAAAAAGGTCAGCTTTGACCAAAGTGTACACCTGCCACGTGGAAATACCGTAAAATTCCTATTAAACGCCCCCGGGGGCTAAACATTTTCCAAAAGGGGGGCTATTATTAAAATACATTTTTCCTAAATCAAAAAATCACTGTAAATACATTTAGTGTTAGCAAGTGTTGGTAATAACATTAAAAAGTATAAAGGTTTTATAGTTCATATTATATATATTTGTGTTTACTATAAAATAAAATGGATTCTGAATGATTTGAATAATATTATGTACCTGGGGGGGGGCTTTATTAGGGGAGGGGCGTTTATTAGGAATTTAACGGTACACCATAATCTGATGACACAAAGTGTTAATAATGTTGACTTTACATAATAATGGATCAGTGATTTCTCACCTTATGTAACAGACGCCTGTAAGAGACCTCTTCAAACTAGTTTTTTTTTTTTAAATTATGCAATTTTCCCAAAAATGTGAACTTACACCAGTTTTCTAACTTCCCAAATTAGCAATTTTAGCAATAATTCTTCGCAAAATCAAGAGTCTAAGGCCTCTTTCCAAATGAGTGAGAAAAAAAACCCACTGAGGATAATAACTTACTTTATTATAGCTCTCATTATTTCATCGTTGCTAAGCTCTATCTTTCTTCTTGTAATAGCTATAAGAAAAATATCAAAAACTGTGAAATTTCTACACACTCAAAAATGGGTAAAACCACCGACCTTTTCATTGGCAAACTTCGATTTATATGTTAATGTATTATTCAATTAAAAAATCTTACAGCTAATTTCATAATTATCTGAAAGAATTCACATAAAACAGCAGTAATGAAAATTTGTTCTAGCACACAAAATAAAATATGTACGAATATTTACAATAAACAATGATAATCCCTAACAGAATGAAATCTTTTCTTTTGCAGAGTTCAGCCACCACATCATTCCTGGGCTGACTGTAAAGTAGTTTACCAGTACTAATTGCCTTCACTTTCACAAGGAACTGATTACTTCTGTACATGCAAGAGCAGAGGTACAGTGCGAATGACTGTAGACAGAATTTCATGATCAATCACAACAAAAGTGACCTGCACTGTCCAGGAATCGAACCCAGGTCTCCAAACTCACAACCCAACGCTCTACCTATTAAGCTAACCAGATGACTGCTTAAAGTACAGGGCCTTCTCTCTATGCCTAAATAAAGTGAAAAAGTGTAAAAACCTAAAAAGACGTTACTACAGCAACCAACTCACCAACATTTCTGACTCTATTAGGTTCTAACAAGGTAATACTCTCTTTCTTTTTCTTCAGAGTCTTGGGTGTACTATCACCACCTTTCAGTCCACCTAACACGCCAAGCTTGAACGTCTCCTCAAAACCATTGAAATCTATCACCTGAATAGAAAGAAAATATTTCAATATTAAATCCTCAGTTTTTTATTGTTGTTTGGTTTTGTTGTTTTTTTTTTGGAGAGGGGTGGGGGGCACTTCGATTTATATGTTAATGTATTATTCAATTAAAAAATCTTACAGCTAATTTCATAATTATCTGAACCTGTCCATCAAATATCCAATAAACAGTTTTATTTTGTTTGTTTTAGGGCACCAACATCGTCTACCCGGGTCAGTCAATTCACAGTCCAACACTCTCTACTTATTAAGCTAACCAAGCAGTTTCACGTTGGATATCTTTATATACAGGAAAGTAATGGTTTCTAGAGGGGTTCAACCTTGCAGCTAAGAGGAGCAAATGATGAACTAAAATGAATTACTTGAAAGAATACATTACATTTCATATGTACTAATGCAACCTGTCACAATAAGAAGTGACACGTTAACAAAAACAATACATTTCTTAAACAAAGTGAGAAAGTCTATAAACATGTATTTCTATTTCCTACAGAAGCCTTACCAAATGTCAGTAGGCCATCAACAATTGAACTTTGATATTTTTTATTACTCAGATCACTCACAACAATGTTACATTTACATACTATTGTTTCAAAGTAAAATTTTATTATATACTTGTCTGCATAAATCTATTGTTATCACAGAAGCATATAAGTGTATACTTGAATCTTAATAAATTTCTTAACAGGTCTGTTTTTATTTCTTCTTATCAAATATCCTAAAAAACCAATAATAAGCTGTGGCTTTTTTGAATTTTGGTAAAGATTAGCAATTTTCAAAGATGGCTTGTTTTCAAGGTTGGCATATTTTTAAAATGAAAATGTTATGAAGTTTCCCGCCTCATTTCATTAACATAGATAAAGTCTGTATTCATTAGTTACTGTGTAAGTTTTTGAGGATATGAACATTCCTAAATGATGCCTTAATGTAGATTTAACATTTTCCTGATGTCTTTATTCAATAGCTAGCGAGTATCTTAAAATAATCATTTCCATAGCCTTTTTATCATTTAGAAACCCCCCCTAAAAAGTATGTAATGTTTGTAACGACATAAACATACAATATAAAAATGTTGAAAGGTAAAGCCTAAAATGACGTTTTAAGATTTAGACAATGGCAATCTTTGCTATGGTTATGATAAAATTTCAGTCTCACCCTGTATAATTTTTCATCATCAAGATCAGCAAACACTGTGCCTTTAACTTGCTGAGGTTTAAGTGGGGTCCAATTTAACACAGGTAAACGGTACTTGGTCTGAATCTTCTTCTTTATAGTCATTGCTGAAAAAAAAGAGTTACAATCGTAAAAAATCAAATATAAACAATTATACCAGTATTTAATAAATGGGCACTCAGTATTTCTTTAACAAAGCTTACAACATGTTCCTGTAATAATAAAAAGAAGGAAAATCTTTCTATTTTTAGCATCAGTGGCCTCGACCTTTAAATATACCAACTAGAAACTCCTACCAAAAAAAAGTTAAATGAAGGTGACAAAAAATGTCCATCAATGAAGGTACCAAAACACAATATTATATCTAAAATCTTAGTCAATTAATGAACAAATAAAACCTAAATAGTTATTCTTGCTTATATATAACTGCTCATAACTTCAAAACAAAAAGAAATGATATCAAGAAGTAAATATATATAAACAAATGACATACCACTTGGTGCTCCTGGTGCCCCTGGGGCTGGAGGAGGAGGAGGTGGTGCTCCGACACCAGGTGCTGGTGGTGCGGGTGGTGGTGGAGGGGGTGGGGGAGCCATCACTGGAGCAGGGGTGGGGGCGGAGGGGGCACTGCCCCGGCTGCTCCTGATGCACCAGCTGCGCCAACACCTGAGCCTGAGATAAAAATAAAACAAAAATAAAACAGCATCAAATAAACAATTTCATTACAAAATATAGAAGAAAACTTACCCAAATTTAAAAGAAATATTTAAATCTGACCTATTATGGAGCACTTTATCTCATTTATAGAATTCAAAGTATTACTCAATACATTCACAATAAATATGCCTTACAAACATTTACATCAATGACTTTGACTAGACAACATATTCAGCACAGGTGAGGCTTAATTGTTTGCTGGGTTTTTAAGCCATTTAACACTTTTTGGTTATATCTCAGCGGCTGATAAACCTGACTAGCTTTCCTGGATAATTAACCAGTAATTACCAATTTCTCCAAAAGTGACCAACTACTTACATAATTTATAAACCAGGAGTGACAGAAATGTCCATTAGACTCAATGTCCAAGATCAATTGGCACCAACCGAGAAATTTCACTTCACTCAAGGACTGGACAAGCCGCCCCTGGATTGCAAATCTGATGCTATCCCTACTAAGCTAAGCAAATTGTAATCGGCATGAAACACTTGGCTTCACATTCAAAATCATATTGTCCTTTCACTTGATCAAAAGTAAATCATGCAGATTTCAATAACATTTTATTCTACCATAACCAAGGTTTTCATTTGTATCAGAGTCAACAATGTGCTAACAAAAACAACCTATTTCACAAAGGGTCGAGGGGGGATCGTCTTATCTACAGACTGAAATTACAACAGATTTTAACACCATTTCAATCAATTATGGATCACCAATCTGGTAATAATGAAAACCCTGGTAACTGTATATAAAATCTAATATTATATCAAATATGAAAATATGAACAAATATGCATACCAATATTTTTCTTAAGATTTTCTAATTCCTGTAGTTTAGCATCTAGAGTGGAAAGATGTTTCTGAGATTCCGCGTCCTTCTCATTGATGGCTTCACGTAACGCTGTGTTCTCAGCCTCATTCTGACGTAAATTCTCCTACAATTTGTGAAACAAACATTTCTTCATTCAGTCTATTACAAACACATGAATAGCAAAGGGATTTCCCAATTCAACAAATTTTAATGTTACTTGTTCTCATATACATGCATAGTTGTACTTTTAAGTCAAATCAGAATTTCAAAAATTGGATTTCAACTGATATTTCTATTGTAAACAAGATATGTTTGTAAAACATGTATGCCCCCTATCAGCAGCCAATTAGTCATGTGATAAGGTTATTATGCATGACGTCTGACCCAGTGATCAAACAATTAATAAGGGTTATAAAGTATCTACTGGTCATGACCTTGACCTTTGACCCCTTGACCCAAAACTCAATAGGGGTCATCTGCTGGTCACGACCAATCATCATACAAAGTTTGAAGTTCCTAGGCCTAGGCGTGTTTAGTAAATTGATCAGAAACCGTTTTTACCTACAAGGTCAATGTGACCTTGACCTTTGACCCTTGACCCCAAAATCAATAGGGGTCATCTGCTGGTCATGACCAATCACCATGCCAAGTTTTGAAGTTCTTAGGCCTAAGGGTTCTCTTATTATTGATCGGCAAACCGTTTTAACATACAAAAGGTCAATGTGACCTTGACCTTTGACCCCAAAATCAATAGGGGTCATCTGCTGGTCATGACCAATCACCATGCCAAGTTTGAAGTTTCTAGGCCGAAGCGTTCTTTAGTTATTGATCAGAAACCGTTTTTACTTACAAGGTCATTGTGACCTTGACCTTTGACCCCTTGATCCCAAAAATCAATAGGAGTAATCTGCTGGTCATGACAAATCACCATACCAAGTTTGAAGTTCCTAGGCCTAAGCGTTCTTGAGTTATTGATCAGAAAACCGTTTTTACTTAAAAGGTCAATGTGACCTTGACCTTTGACCCCTTCACCTAAAACTCAATAGGGGTCATCTGCTGGTCATGACCAATCATCACACAAAGTTTGAAGTTCCTAGGCCTAAGCGATTTTAGTTAATTGATCGGAAACCGTTTTTTACCTACAAGGTCAATGTGACCTTGACCTTTGACCCCTTGACCCCAAAATCAATAGGTCATCTGCTGGTCATGACCAATCACCATACCAAGTTTGAAGTTCCTAGGGCAAAGGGTTCTTAAGTTATTGATCCGAAAGCATTTTTTACCTACAAGGACAATGTGACCTTGACCTTTGACCCCTAGACCCCAAAAATCAATAGGGGTCATCTACTGATCATGACCAATCACCATCTCAAGTTTGAAGGGTCCCTAGGCCTAAGGGTTCTTTCATTATTGATCGGAAACCGTTTTTACCTACAAGGTCAATGTGACCTTGAACTTTGACCCCTTAACGCCAAAATCAATAGGGGTCATCTGATTGGTCATAACCAATCACCATACCAAGTTTGAAGTTCCTAGGCCTAAGGGTTCTTTTGTTATTGATCAGAAACCGTTTTTAATTAAAAGGTCAATGTGACCTTGACCTTTGACCCCTTGACCCCAAAATCTATACGGGTCATCTACTGATCATGACCAATCACCATACCAAGTTTGAAGTTCCTAGGCCTTAAGGTTCTTTAGTTATTGATCGGAAACCGTTTTTACGTACAAGGTCAAAGTGACCTTGACCTTTGACCCCTTGACCCCAAAATCAATAGGGGTCATCTACTGATCATGACCAATCACAATACCAAGTTTAATGTTCCTAAGCCTTAAGGTTCTTTAGGTATTGATCGGAAACCGTTTTTACCTACAAGGTCAATGTGACCTTGACCTTTGACCCCTTGACCCCAAAATCAATAGGGGTCATCTACTGATCATGACCAATCACCATACCAAGTTTGAAGTTCCTAGGCCTTAAGGTTCTTTAGTTATTGATCGGAAACTGTTTTTTGCTTTCAAGGTCAATGTGACCTTGACCTTTGACCCCTTGACTCCAAAATCAATAGGGGTCATCTACTGGTCATGACCAATCACCATACCAAGTTTTTGAAGTTCCTAGGCCTTAAGGCTTCTTTAGTTATTGATCGGGAAACCGTTTTTTGCTTTCAAGTCAATGTGACCTTGACCTTTGACCCCTTGACCCCAAAATCAATAGGGGTCATCTACTGGTCATGACCAATCACCATACCAAGTTTGAAGTTCCTAGGCCTTAACGTTCTTTAGTTATTGATCGGAAACCGTTTTTGCTTTCAAGGTCAATGTGACCTTGACCTTTGACCCCTTGACCCCAAAATCAATAGGGGTCATCTACTGGTCATGACCAATCACCATACCAAGTTTAATGTTCCTAGGCCTAAGGGTTCTTTAGTTATCACTCGGAAACCATTTGGTCTACGGACCGACGGACCGACAAGTGCAAAGCAATATACCCCCTTTTTTTCAAAATGGGGGCATAATAATATATCTTTATAGTAAATAAGATATCTTTGTAGTAAATGGGTTATCTTTATAATTGAAAAGATATCTTTACTGTTAATAAGATATCTTTAAAGTGAACAAGATATATTTATGTTTAATGATATATCTTTATATTTCATGAGATATCTTCATAGTAATGAGATATCTTCATAGTTATGCGATATCTTCAGTAGATAAGATTATTATTAAATCTTTATAGTAATGAAATATCTTTATGGTAAATGAGATATCTTTACAGTAGATACAATATCTTAACTGTTGATTATATTAGGCAAACAATATATATCTTTGTTTCCAGTAAAGACAAGTAAAAGGTAATATACCTTAAGATCATCTATTTCAGTGTTAGCATCAGATAGTTGTTTCTCTAATTCTATCGTCTTCATCATCATCTCTTCCTCCACCTCTTGTAACTTCTCGTTTATCTGTAAATACACATCAAAATAGTACATATAGCTGATTAGTATTAGTATATATAGTATTAGCTGATAAACCACGCTGTTATCACATACTAAACATATTATTAGTTTAAAGTTTTATACCTTGATATGTTATACAATGTATAATGAGGGCAGCAGCGGCAGAGTGGTTAGGGTGTCTGCCTCTAAAGCCAGGGACCTGGGTTCGAGCCCCTACTCGGGTCACGATAATGTTTCCTCATTTGACACCAGTACTGGTTACTTCCAGGAAGCAGTCTCGAAAGTGATTAATATAAGTTGCATGAACTTGTTTAACTTTAAGGGGCCAATGTACTAAGATTAATTATTTATTTTTCAGGATCATCTGTTTTCTTCATACACTTTTATAGGAAAAACAACCTACCCGAGAAACTTCATCTTCTAATTCAGCAGCTTTTTCTAACGCTTCAGTTTTTGTTTCAGAGTCTTCCAGCAAGGCTGCTACATCTATCATGTTGTCTAGGTACGCATGTACTTGAACTGATAACCTATCACTCTCTGTATGCCGTAATTTCTGTAACGTTTTTGTACAAATATATATGTTTATTTATAGACAAATTTCAAAGAATATGAATATTCATTATCAAACAACTGTAAAGAATATGAATATTCATCATTATAAATCAATTTTAAAGAATATGGATATTCATCATTTTCAAACAACTTTAAAGAATATGAATATTCATTGTTATCAAACAATTTCTAAGAATATGAATATTCATTGTTATTAAATAATTTTAAAGAATATGAATATTCATTGTCATCAATCAATTGTAAAGATTATGAATATTCTTTGTTTTCAAACATTTTAAATAATATGAATATTCATCATTATAAATCAATTTTATAGAAGATGGATATTCATCAGTTTCAAACACTGTTAATGAAAGCTTAGTTCTTGATACAGCTTGAGGTAAATTGAAAATATTTTCTCAAAATATGAATAATTTTCATAAGACAACTTCATATAATATAAATGTTCAATAAAAGATAATTTATGAAATAACAAACATACAAACCTCTAAATAGTCATCCAAACCAATAATTGAGAATTCATGTTGTAAATGGACCCGAAAATTCATGTTCTCTACGGAGTGTACCACAATATTCACAAACTGCATACATGCCACCTGAAAACATTATAAAATATGCCATATATATGTATATATATAACATAATTAATACAGTATTAGTAATGAATTTATTTAGTGTTTTTATTTTAATCAACTCTGGTTGAGTTTTAAAACGCAACCACACTGTAAAAGCCATCTAGCGATTTTCCAGCTATCCTGGTAAAGAAAGACCTCAGGTTTTGTTTGTTTGTTTGTTTCATTTTACGCCTTTTCCCAACAGTATTTCAGTCATATAGGCAGGTAGTTTCCTAACCATCGTTCCTGGAGAGTTTCACCAGTACTAGACTACCTTCCTTCGAGCTAAACTACCAAAGCATCTCCCGAACATCGAACCCACGCCAGAGAGGTAACTGGGTTAGAAGTCATCGACTCTAACCCCTCGACCACGGAGGATGTTAAGACCTCAGGTGAGTTATGACAGGGCACAGGCATGTAACTGAGAAGAACCACTGACCTTCTGGATCTCAGCTTAATAGTTTCCTTATAAGAAGCCATAAGTCCCTGGCAGGATTCAGACCCACAACAGTAAGCAGTTTGTGGGATTTCTATTTATGCATACAATCAATGGACATACACACCTCAATTTCATAGTTTACAAAAGTTACTAGGTTTATTGTTAGACCAAATAGAAAACATACCGTACACTTACCATAAAATCTATATGGAATTCTTCGTAGTTTTTGAAATAATCCATCAGAGTTTCAAATCTATGTCTCTCCGCACATACCTACAAACAATTTATCAAGAAATGAATTTCTTTACAATTGGTTTTTGGATTAAAATTTGTTATTGGAGTTTAAAATTTTTCGAAAAGGGTTCAAATTTTTACTGTTTTCTGTTTAAATATTTTTTTTAAATTTAACACCATAGGGCCTATTAAACTAACAATCTCTCAATGACAGTTTAAGCTTCATTTGTGCAAGACTCAAAAGCCACACAGGCTCTAAGAACCAATATCATTTGAAGACAGGTGCAAACAATGTACTTAAGCCACAATTACACAAAGAGCCTTTAAGGATCTTTCAATGTGCAAATCACAAATTGCTGACATTTATTTGTTCACCTTGCAATTACAGCTGTTTTGTTGGATTTCAAGACACACCGATATGGTGACTTTCCAGCTTTATAGTTAGAGGAGGACCTTAGGCATCCCTTCTTGCAATTATGTACGGCATAAACAGGCACCTGAGTAGAACCATCAACGCTCTATGAACTACATGTAGCTAGATAGCTTCCTCACATGAAACAATCCTAAGACCTTGATGAGATTCCAGCCCCATAGTTAATTCATTTACTTGAAAGATGTTCTACTAAACTAATGAATCGGTCAAAAGCTGTGAGATGTCTTCATTTGTATAATAGGTAATAAATAAAACTTACTTCTTTGAAGTTATCGAAAGCGGAGAGTATAATTTCATGGCCACTACTGACCAAACATACAGCTGCCAGCAGCTCTAGTACCAACGCTTTTGTTCTGAAAAAAAGAGGAATTAATACATGACTAACTTGTTATCATTCTTCACAGGATATTTCAATGTATTTTAAATTACAAAGAAGAAATTCAGAAACCAACACCATCAGATGTATTTATAGATAAGTACTTAAGTATATAAAGTCCAACAACAACAGGGATTTAATATCTTCAAAATTTTATTTAAACATGTCCCAAGATAACTTCATCAAAATAGTAACACATAACGGACATTACATCAAATAAGTAATGTTTTTTTTTGTTTTTAGATATATACTTATAATGGATAGAAAATCTTACCTCATACTTCTATGGTTCAAACTTAATGCTATACAGTTAATGGCATGAGTGTGGGCTATCACTAGATTAAAACCATACTGGAAAATAAAATGACAGTAAGGTAAGCAATCAATCTTTACCCAGCTCAAAATATGTACAAGTTATATTGGAAACAATACATTCATAGTTTTAAGGAACTCCACTGAGGTCCAAAAGCCTTAAAACATTTAATTTGAATTTCTTACATACATCAGCTGTGGCACTTAATACAGAAAGACATGCAAAAGATAAATAAGAATTTACTCTGAAATAAATTGAAAATTGTTATTTTGTGCTAGACTTAGTCCGATTGAGCTGAAAGCGTTTCAACGTTCTTCAGTTTCGGTGATTTTTCACAATGAGAATAATTATTCTAGAAAAACAAAGTGAGCGAATCATCTGAAATTTTGCACACAAGATATTGATATAGACCTTTATCAATAGAACGTTAATCTCAAAAATTCCTTTCCAGTCCCGTCATGTCAAAAAACCCTCAGTCAAGTCCCTGTACGGAATCTTCTTACCCTGAGAAGTCAAATAGTTTAGTTCCTGGCAAGACTGCATCTAAGTTTAAGACACCCCAGCTATACTGGCAGCATAAGATCTTTTTTTATTCTACCGGCAGCAGAGTAAAGGTTATTGTTATTTTACTAGAGAAAAATTTAAATTCTTCATTGAAAATGTGAAATTTTCAGATGTTTCAATGAGAATGTAAAATTTTCAGATATTTCCATTTAAGTATCAAGTATTGAAGTGTCAAACAAAATAAAACATCTATTTATCAACAAAAAAGCTCTTTCTCAACCATCCAGGGAAAATATATTTTGATAAAGAATGAACCTCTACAAATAGTGATATACAGTGAGTTATAAATCATATCTTATCCGTACAACATACCTGATGATTCATAATTGCACGTAAACACATAATACAGACATGGACATCGTCCCGCGCCTCGCCCATATTTAACTTCTGTGAATATTTGGTGATACCTCTGGACGCACCGATTGTATTGGAACGTTTCAAACTTCGATTGGACCCCTTAGCCAACCCTGTGTCTAGACTCGAACTCTTTTCTCTGTTAAGAAGTTGTTCCCTCCTGCAAAATACAAAAAAAGAAAGTATTTAAAAAGTAGTTCAGTAAGAAAAATATATTCTCAATGTATGTAATCAATATAAAAAATTTTGTTGCTAACTCACTGCTACATAGGACAAAATGTGATTTTCAGTCTTAAAGAAGTCATGGTAGAACTTGTTCAACATCCTATGGGGTTGAAATTGATGATCAGATGCATGTAGATCTAAAAATGAACACACCATGCTATTTTTATATTGTTAAAATACTGTTAGGTTGAAGATCTGGCACTACTTTATTGATACATTCGATACAGTCATATTCTTGCATATCGGACAAGATTATCTACTGTTTACTTCAGTGATAGAAAAAAAACCTTAGAGCCTTGTTACAGCCCTGAACAGTTACCCTCGAGCTACATATTCCTTCGGTACCTGCAGCCGCAGTAAGATCCTTATACTGTATAAAAACAGATGAACTTACCTCATTACAACCTGAGTAAAGGATAGATAGTCAACTAGGATATCCAGACCCTGGTTTTCCTCACTGAGAAACTCTCTAACCCATCTGAAATATATATAATATATGTGACATCTTTTTTAGCAATAGTTTACACAGAATTTATTTTTATTGATTGTGTTAGAAGGTAATTTGTCACCTTAGTGCAGAAACGGAATAAGTTTTTCTAAATTTAATAGGAGTTAATCAGTTATTGAACTGAGGTGATGATATAAGTTAACAGAAACATTCTTGAATCTCTTCACAGAACCAGCAAGCCATAAGCAAGGAGTGCTTACCTCTTGATAGAGTTTGAAACCATGAGGAAAGCAATCCTTAATGTGACAATATGGCCTTATGCCCATCCAAGTGTAGAAAGTAAGTGTGTTAAATTTACATTAAGTTAATAACATTCTACTGAAAGAGGTCCAAGCAGGCCCTTTATTGCTCTCAACAAAACAATGGACAATGAACATCAGACAGTAATACATTGTGCTCAGGTGAGCGAAAAAATAATTGGTACTTTCAGTGTTCATTTGCAAAATTAATTTTACATGATTAATGCCTTTAAGCAGTTTAATCATCAACTAATTAATTAACTGAGTAATAAAATAAAATTGATTATTCATTCATCCAGTTTTTACTATGCCTTACTCTATGTGATTTGTTCGCAAAGATATTTCCAAGTCTCGTAACACTTGTGTTGAACTGGTTTCGCCAAGCATTTTTCTTTTCTATAATGAGAAAAAGAAATAGATAAAGATAAATAGACAAAAAATCAATCATACAAAATAATAATAATAATAAATACATGTCAATTACTCCCTGCAACTCTAATATTATATCATAAGTAACAAATTCCTCTTAAAATAGTCTCATTATTATTTTTTACTTTTTTAAGTGTCTTACCAAGTTAGCACAAAAATAAACATGTTTTCACTAACTCGAAAGTCATCTTTCAAATAAAATAAAAACAAGATATGTTTGTAAAACATGTATGCCCCCTATCAGCAGCCAATTAGTCATGTGATAAGGTTATTATGCATGACGTCTGACCCAGTGATCAAACAATTAATAAGGGTTATAAAGTATCTACTGGTCATGACCTTGACCTTTGACCCCTTGACCCAAAACTCAATAGGGGTCCATCTGCTGGTCACGACCATCATCATACAAAAGTTTGAAGTTCCTAGGCCTAGGCGTTTTTAGTAAATTGATCAGAAACTGTTTTTACCTACAAGGTCAATGTGACCTTGACCTTTGACCGCCTTGATCCCAAAATCAATAGGGGTCATCTGCTGGTCATGGACCAATCACCATGCCAAGTTTGAAGTTCTTAGGCCTAAGGGTTCTCTTATTATTGATCGGAAACCGTTTTAACATACAAGGTCAATGTGACCTTGACCTTTGACCCCAAAATCAATAGGGGTCATCTGCTGGTCAATGACCAATCACCATGCCAAGTTTGAAGTTTCTAGGCCGAAGCGTTCTTTAGTTATTGATCAGAAAACCGTTTTTACTTACAAGGTCATTGTGACCTTGACCTTTGACCCCTTGATCCCAAAATCAATAGGAAGTAATCTGCTGGTCATGACAAATCACCATACCAAGTTTGAAAAGTTCCTAGGCCTAAGCGTTCTTGAGTTATTGATCAGAAACCGTTTTTTACTTACAAGGTCATTGTGACCTTGACCTTTGACCCCTTGATCCCAAAATCATTAGGAGTAATCTGCTGGTGTCATGACCAATCACCATACCAAGTTTTGAAGTTCCTAGGCATAAGGGTTCTTAAGTTATTGATCCGAAAATCATTTTTACCTACAAGGTCAATGTGACCTTGACCTTTGACCCCTAGACCCCAAAAATAATAGGGGTCATCTACTGATCATGACCAATCACCATCTCAAGTTTGAAGTCCCTAGGCCTAAGGGTTCTTTTCATTATTGATCGGAAACTGTTTTTACCTACAAGCTCAATTGTGACCTTGACCTTTGACCCCTTAACGCCAAAATCAATAGGGGTCAATCTGATTGGTCATAACCAATCACCATACCAAGTTTGAAGTTCCTAAGCCTAAGGGTTCTTTTGTTATTGATCAGAAACCGTTTTTTAATTAAAAGGTCAATGTGACCTTGACCTTTGACCCCCTTGACCCAAAATCTATACGGGTCATCTACTGATCATGACCCAATCACCATACCAAGTTTGAAGTTCCCTAGGCCTTAAGGTTCTTTAGTTATTGATCGGAAACCGTTTTTATGTACAAGGTCAATGTGACCTTGACCTTTTGACCCCAAAATCAATAGGGGTCATTTACTGATCATGACCAATCACCATACCAAGTTTAATGTTCCTAAGCCTTAAGGTTCTTTAGTATTGATCGGAAAACCGTTTTTTTACCTACAAGGTCAATGTTGATCTTGACCTTTGACCCCCTTGACCCCAAAATCAATAGGGGTCATCTACTGATCATGACCAATCACCATACCAAGTTTGAAGTTCCTAGGCCTTAAGGTTCTTTAGTTATTGATCGGAAACCGTTTTTGCTTTCAAAGGTCAATGTGACCTTGACCTTTGACCCCTTGACCCCAAAATCAATAGGGGTCATCTACTGGTCATGACTAATCACCATACCAAGTTTGAAGTTCCTAGGCCTTAAGGTTCTTTAGTTATTGATCGGGAAACCGTTTTTGCTTTCAAGGTCAATGTGACCTTGACCTTTGACCCCTTGACCCCAAATCAATAGGGGTCATCTTACTGGTCATGACCAATCACCATACCAAGTTTGAAGTTCCTAGGCTTAAGGTTCTTTAGTTATTGATCGGAAAACCGTTTTTTTGCTTTCAAGGTCAATGTGACCTTGACCTTTGACCCCTTGACTCCAAAATCAATAGGGGTTCATCTACTGGTCATGACCAATCACCATAACCAAGTTTGAAGTTCCTAGGCCTTAAGGTTCTTTAGTTATTGATCGGAAACCGTTTTTTTGCTTTCAAGGTCAATGTGACCTTGACCTTTGACCCCTTGACCCCAAAAATCAATAGGGTCATCTACTGGTCATGACCAATCACCATACCCAAGTTTGAAGTTCCTAGGCCTTAAGGTTCTTTAGTTATTGATCGGAAACCGTTTTTTTGCTTTCAAGGTCAATGTGACCTTGACCTTTGACCCCCTTGACCCCAAAATCAATAGGGGTCCATCTACTGGTCATGACCAATCACCATACCAAGTTTGAAGTTCCTAGGCCTTAAGGTTCTTTAGTTATTGATCGGAAACCGTTTTTTTTTTTTTTTTTTTTTTTTTTTTTTTTTTTTTTTTTTTTTTTTTTTTTTTTTTTTTTGCTTTCAAGGTCAATGTGACCTTGACCTTTTACCCCTTGACCCCAAAATCAATAGGGGTCATCTACTGGTCATGACCAATCACCAATACCAAGTTTGAAGTTCCTAGGCCTTAAGGTTCTTTAGTTATTGATCGGAAACCCGTTTTTTGCTTTCAAGGTCAATGTGACCTTGACCTTTGACCCCTTGACCCCAAAATCAATAGGGGTCATCTACTGGTCATGACCAATCACCATACCAAGTTTGAAGTTCCTAGGCCTTAAGGTTCTTTAGTTATTGATCGGAAACCGTTTTTGCTTTCAAGGTCAATGTGACCTTGACCTTTGACCCCTTGACCCCAAAATCAATAGGGGTCATCTACTGGTCATGACCAATCACCATACCAAGTTTGAAGTTCCTAGGCCTAAGGGTTCTTTAGTTATCACTCGGAAACCATTTGGTCTACGGACCGACGGACCGACAAGTGCAAAGCAATATACCCCCTTTTTTTCAAAATGGGGGCATAAATATATCTAAGTTATGTTCAGACGTCAAAGAATAAAAACAACACTCCAATTTATAATTCGTTGCCAAGATTGTAATAAATCTTATATTCTTTAGATGTTAACACATTTTTGTAAACCGTAATAATTCGTTATTAGCAGTATCCGAATATTTAACTTGGAAATTTAATCCCTGGTTTCAAACAAAGGACACTTTCTATAACATATACATATATATGATGTAGTCATGGAAACCCTAATCCATGTAGCCATGGAAATCCTAACCATGTAGCCATGGTAACCCTAACCATATAGCCATGGTAACCCTAACCATATAGCCATGGAAACCCTAACCATGTAGCCATGGTAACCCATGTAGCCATTGTAACCATGGTAACCCTAATCCATGTAGACATGGTTAAACTAATCTATGTAGCCATGGTAACCCTAATTCATGTAGCCATGGTAACCCTAATCCATGTAATCATGGTAACCCTAATCCATGTAGCCATGGTAACCCTAACCCATGTAGCCATGGTAACCCTAACCATGTAGCCCTGGTTACCCTAATCCATGTAGCCATGGTAACCCTAATCCATGTAGCTAGGTAACCCTAATCCATGTAGCCATGGTAACCCTAACCATGTAGCCATGGTAACCCTAACCATATTGCCATGGTAACCCTAACCTTGCTGAATTGGTGTAATATACTTTTAATTTGGAGCAGTCCATTAATAACGTGAGTCAGGTATCAGCATTAAAGGGACACCACTAAGATTTTTATACATGATGGGACTGGAGACTGATGATTCATTTGATGTAGGTCTAGACCAATCATTTGTGTGCAAAATTTTAGTTCATTTGCTCCTTCTGTTTTTCCAGAATAATGATTGAAAAGCATTCCAAATTGGGGCAAAAAAATAGCAAAAACAATTGATTTATATCTATTTTCAATTTACATCTGAGTATATACTGTTTTTTTTGCATATCTTTCTATTTTAAGTTCTCCAGCTGATCTATTGAGAAAAAAAAATCAAATTTCACGTATTAAGGCTTTTTGACCTCAGTAGAGTTCCTTTAAAATTTCATTTTAGCAGCAAACCATAGACATTTGGTCCAGGCTGCACATAATTGTTTTTTTTTTTTTTTTTTTTTTGATTTTTTAAAGAAATCTAATGTGGACAGTCATAGGGTTAAATATCAAAATATAACACCAAAGGCATTTTTGGGGTTTAAACTGCATTTCAAATTGTCATGCAAAAAAGTTACTCAGACTGCATAGGTATAGAAAGTGCCCATTGTTTTGTGGTGTAATATAGAACAAAACATAATCTGAATAATCATAAATAAAACCAACAGAAAATAGCGCCTTGCCTAGGTTATTTTCTTCAAAATCAATATGGTGCATACATTAAAAAACACAACTAAAAACATGCATTGCATTGCATTGCAAAGAAAAAATCAACCCAACATGAATATTGCAAAACAAAGGAACACTGTTGGGAGCTGGCATGGAAAATTAATAAACATAAACGCAACTAAACTTTGGCAAGAAACCAAACAAAAAGTGTCTCTGTTACCAGGCATTTACAGCAGAATAATAGGACTTCCAAAAGACAGAGCTGTTAGTAACAATTGAAGGAAACTTTTTTTAATTTTCAAATAAATTTTTTTTTGCATGTAAAAACAATATATTTGGGCCTATTTCCCAACAATTTGAGTCAGAGATGTAACTTAAGTGTCCTAACAGAATTTTGAGTAACAATCATTTGCAAGAAAGGAACAAACTAAGTGTCTCGACATTTGAGACAGAATTTTGAGTACTCATTTACAAGAAAGGAACAAACTAAGACTTAGCGTCTCGACATTTGATTGAAGATATTTTATAATAAAGAATACATACAATGAAAAATGATGACAACAGACATACAGATGGACAGATGAGATAAAATGAGATCTGAACAATAAATTCATTTGAATTAAATCATTGACTTTTCTCCTCTTACTATAGTATACGCAGACAAATAATCCCTGTCATTATACAACATACGAAATTCTTATTTCCCATAAGCTATTTGTGCAATTTATTTGATGTTTTCTTGCAATATGTTACACTGACATATAATTATAGGTCATATGGGCGACTTTTTTACTTGTTACTGGCATTAACAGACCAAATATTTCAGACTTCAGTAAGCTCAAAATAACATATCTGTTATCAGAAATAATCCAATATGGCTGGATAGCTTCTTAATTTGAGGAAAGATGTCCATATCCACAACCAGATATCAAACCCTCATGGATTAGGGATAATAATAATAATCAAAACAATGACCATGACCCCTTCTCCATCTTTCAATCACGACCAAATCATAATTTTCATTGAAAAGATGGCTTAAATTTTAAGGTTTATTTAAATGCTGTATAATAATTACTAATGTAAGAATGCATTTTAATCCTGAAGAAAAACATCCCATGAATAATGAGGATGCAAAATGTCATGTTTACATAATTTATTTCCGTGAATATGATCTTACTGCAGTTAAAAACTGATTATTCATTAAAATTTGTCATAGCTCAATTTTTTTTATTATGACCGTTCTTAAGACCATGATAACAAGGTTAAGGCTGAAGTTTTATGTTCATTTATTCGAAATTTAAAACAATTTTAACACATTTTGGACTCTCAGCAGTCGGTCCACAAAACTGGCTTTCCTGGAAGACTAACCACAGTAATTGCCAATTTCGGTGCTAGTGACACACTACTAATCCCACATGAGTTCTGAATCAGTGGTTAGAAACAAATGACCATTAGTTTTCTTGTGGGAGAATCATGAAAATTTTTATACCTGTATTTCCCTTAAGAAGCAAATATTTTTAGGTCAGACATAATCATGTCCCTTACATTTAGCAACCTTTCGACCTTAACCTTTAACCTCTGGGTCATAAAATGCCAAAAGACTGTTCATTTGTTTAAGACACTACCTAAATAGTGTCATTAATTAATGAATCACTTAGTGATTTATCTACAGGAACATGTAATGTCTAACATTAATTGTACATAATCTCAAAATTTTCTGCATAGGGAGTATACTCTTAGCTTAGAAATGAATGAAAATAATTCGCATTTAATTACAGTAGCAGTTTATATTATAAGAACAACATGTATGATAATTTAAATATACACAGGAGAAAAAAAACAAAACAAAAAACAAAGAAAACCAATCAAAAAAACATTACAGACACAATCATGTATGGCGTTCAAAGATTTCTGCAGCAACATATAGCTTTTTTTGATAATTATATACAAAAAACTGAAGAAATACAAAATGTAATGTATGTATTAAAACGTGAAGCGAAGAACACTGAAATATTTACGATACTCCCACATCTTGCCAGTGGATACATTGTATGCATAATACACATCTGCTGCAAAGAACAAGGATTCCTTTTTTTTTCTCTCCCATGATTTATAAACTATCAACAAACTCTTAAAACACCAATTAAGCATTTCCTTGTTGGAAAAATATAAAAAAATATCTTAGTGAAAGTTTATACTGCTGTGAATCAAAAGGCAGAGAAAATAAACCACATGATTAAAGCTAGTAAGTATAAAGTTCATATTCTGCTTCTCCATAATTATGCATCATGAGAGATTTAATATACATCTTTAAAGAGACATCTGCCTCCATTTATCCCCCCTCCCAAAGCTAAGCAACACAGCCCACCATACCCCAACCCAAACAACTATTCCCGACCCTAACACCCCTACCCTGAGGGACATTTCTAGCTCTCTTCGGAAAAGGCCTCTGGCTAAAATTTGGTCACTTGTTGAGGCTACTAGGTTCAATAACTTTAAAAGATTATAAAGTTCCATTTTAAAGTTTAATATAAAAGACTTGTAACAGTAAGTAATACTGGTTATTGAAAGTTGGGGGGATCAAACTCGCTTCCAGTAATTATTTGTGGTCAGACAATGTAACCTAAGCATACCACTGTGTTCCCCCTTATCTACAATGCCAATAGTGAAGTGTCTTCCTTTCAGCTGTGAGTACTGGTGGCCTAAGATTATCACTGACTGGAATTCACAGAGATATAGGAAATCAGTGGTTTTATCTTAACAACTGTTCAAAACAACATTATGATTTACATAGACAGGTATTAATGGTTTTTTAATTTCTTTCCAGGCAGAGCTGGTATTAGAAGATAACAGACCAAAAACATAACATTGGGCAAATTCTGTTCTCCAAACCTGCTTTGTTTCTCTCTATATATTATAATCTAAATAAAAACAAACTTCTTTACTTTCAACACACAATTACAGTATCAGCAGACAATAGGGTGGAGCAAAATGGAATCCATAAAGAATGCCAAAAACAACAATATTGAAAATGTTTGTTCATGGATGGTACAGGAAAGTGCAAGTTACCGACTCCACGCCCCTTAGCACTGGCCTTAGCAAAACTCAACACCTAAACATGGAAATGGTGAAAAGCCGATTAAATTGTGCTCCTAAAATATCATACAGACCCAACCCCCCAAAAACCCATTCGTACCAATCCCCCAACTCCACTTGGAAGTCTTCTCAGTCACTCCCCAATTCTGAGAATTTGCACCCTTATAAGCAAGCTGCCATTGAAGCCCATATCCACCGAAACATTGAACTTATTAGCTATTGCACAATTTTGCAAAACACCTATAAAGCAAAAAAATTATTTATGTTAAACATGAAATCATCAATTTATTATTTTGTACTCAAAAATCAAACTTTAGCCAAATCATGTACAAATTTTCTCTGTCTTGTAAATAAGGAAATTAACTCAAGGCTGAGGCTTATTAATAATGCATGTGTTAAGAAAAAGAAGAAAAAAATAAAGTAAATAATAAGGAAAATTAAATGAAACGTGAATAGGATATATAAATCGCTCTACATATATATATTCTGAAATGTTGCTGTTTACATTGTGATCATCTGATAAATACATAAAATAAACAAAATGCTAAAAGCTTAACCTGCCATATCAAAAAGGGTTCAAGCCATTGACACCCATACAGGGCCAGGCCAGCCTGCACTTCCATGCCGTCTGACCAGGCTCTATATATTACTGTAGGTTGACTTAAGTTTTCATCTTGATATCCCCAAAAATTGAAAATGGACAGTTCCAAAAATGGAAGCTTGACAAGTCCATTAAAGAAATATAGCATGAAGAAAGTACTTCATACTTTCTTAACAAGCATTTTAGACAAGACATAACGGATCAATTCAAGTTCTGCTAATGCACCAGGCACTCATTAACCTCAGGTCCCCCCAACACCCACAGCAAAATTTGGGACTTCAAATCATGTTTATGGTGCCTAAAACAAGGCCATCAAAACATAACAAAAAGTACAAATTCTCTTCACTTCCCCCACCCCCTCAACTCAATGACCTAAGTCTATAAGAGGCATTTTACTCTGATACATCATTTAAAACCTTTAATTTTAGATACTAATACTATGCAACCATAACTTTATAGCACAAATCACTTATCCAACACAGCAACATTTGCAGAATATCAAAGAAACATTCTAAATAATTATATTAATAACAGGAGATCTAAATTTTGCCAACAATTGATAGCACATTGAAGATATTACTTTATTATCTTTTCCTATCGTTTTCTTTTGTTTGACAAGAGAGCCACAATGGCCTTAGATCACCCACTTTGGGGGAGCTTCAAAAGCAACATTACATAATGATATTAACAATTAAATTTGTATATAATAAATTGTTTTAACACGAGAGCCATGATGGCCTAAGATCACCCGCCTCGTGTGAGCTTAAAAAATGCCTGCCTCGGGTGAACTTAAAAAACAACATAATTATACTGTACTTGACAATGGATTTTTTATAATTATATTAATTATATTCAATTGTTCAAACAAGAGAGCCATGATGGTCTTAGATAACCCACCTCAGGTGAGCTTCAAAAAACAACATCATTATATTGACAATGACAATCGTATATATATTCAATATTGCCATCAATCGTGAGCAGGTAGATTAAATAGCAAGGATGATAGATGAACTGATTATAAGGTGGCTACTGCCTTATGGTCTGTTTATTCTAATTTATGGCATTCCAATTATTTAACTACACTCTAATTACATATTAAACAATATTAAAGGAAAATTTCTTTTATTGAAATATGTACATTCCTTTCTTACCACTAGACTTGATAACTGAATGATATATTAAGTTAATGTACATTAATTTATATTATTACACGATTATAAACATGAATATGATATACATTATGATAATTATTGCAATATGATTATAATATGTGAATAATAATAACAGATTTATACAGTACCGTATTGTCTCTAATGAACGCTCCTAAGTCAAAGCATTACATAATTATGCCTTTTCATAGAATTTGTACGGTTTTATTTGAAAGTCTTTGACAATAGAGTTTGTTATATACTGATAATTGCTAATATAATATTCAATAATTGGAATAAGTTATCAAAGGTCTCTATAGACTTATACTGTTTAATCCGGTGTACTGTAACCAGCTTTTAGCATGAGTACAAGTTCAAACTGTGAGAAAACCTGAAAATTCTGAATAATGTTATTATTTCAATAGGTTTTCTACACAGTACTCTAAGGGAGGATAAAAAACCTGAACTTCTGGCAAATGCCTGAAAACTTGTACCCATGTATATATATAGACTGGAGCGTTTATTGGATACAATACAGTACAATGATATATCATTAATCAACATGGGGCACTAATTTTCATGATCATTCTATGAAATTTATTTAACATTCATTTCATTGTAAAAATATACAATTGCACAATGAACCAGTATTCTTCTAACAGCATGCATGCTCCGGAAATAGAGCTGGATTTTTCTTTTTCATTTGCTAAACTCATGAAATTTAATGCTCTGCAAAAGATTAATGACTCATCTTCATTATTAAGAATAAGATAATAAACAGTGAGAGAAGCTGCAAAAAAAAGGTTGAAAATTAAATAATCGAGTACAAAATCATGCATCGGGTATAAAAGATCTATTTATTGTGTAATTAACTGATTTCTTCCAGCTATTTATACATAACTGAAACTCCATGATAATTAAAGGTATGTTACTTATGTTATAGTCTAAGAAATGTTTATATAAATGTATGTAACAAAGGTATTTCTATAAACTTATTTGCAGCAAGTGTAAGTGGGAATATATGCCTTTGACATTGTGTTAGCAAAAAGTTATGTTTAACAATGTCAAACATGAGTCAAGTAAAAATTAACGAAAACAAGAATGTTGAAGAGCATAGAAAACGTGATAAAATTTTTTGTATTAGTTTTAAAGTAATTTCCATGTACCAAAACAAACAAAACAAGTTTTTGATTTAGTAATATCCTTCACCTTTAACAAACAAAACAATATTAAACAATTCAGAAATCTGCCAAAGTTTTAAGGACATTGGAACAACATCCTAAAGGGTGGTTTTGGGTTAGTAATCTCCCCTTTCCAAGTGGTTAAATATTCTAAAATTTCATTTAATCATGACTGCAGAATGCCTCAAAGCACAAAATTCTATATGTTAAGAATACTAAAAAGGTTACAATTAACTCAGATTCTCTTAAACTAAAAGCATTTAGTTATTAATATGTCGATAATCATATGATAAAGGGGGACAACTATGTAGAAAACTATTTAACAAGAGCTGTCCGTAAGACAGCGCGCTCGACTTTTTTATTGCTTGCCAATAAAAAAAGTTTTTGCAGTAAAAGGCAATACAAGAATCTCTGTATTTTTAAAGTGAACTAGTTGTTTGATACCCTTGAATATTACAGCAATGTTTATATGACATAATTTATGGTAAAGTGAACAAGTGGATAGGAATGAATTTTTTTAGATTTTTTAAGTTTTTTAGTGCTTGCCTATAATACAAAACATTGACAGTTAAGGGCCATAATTCAAATAAAATCTTTGACAGAATTACCTTCTCCTGGACATGTTTGGGAATCATGATTGTAAACAAGTATTCCAACTTTCAAATTAATATCTCAAACAGTTCAGTCAAAAAGTGGACTGGTACTAAAAACTTAACCAAGATTCTAAGTCGATAAAAGGCCTTAATTTTTAAAACAAATCCTTGACAGAGTTACCTTCTCTTGCGTACAGATGGGGGTAATGATGTGAAATAGCATTAAAAGTTTCAAAGCAATATCTCAAAGGGTTAAGGCAATAAGTGGATTTTACCCATATTCAATGTATTTTCTAAGTCAAAAAGGGGCATAATTCTGTCAAAAACCTTGACAGAGTTATGTCCTCTTGTCTGTTGATGAAGGTCGTGATGGTAAACAAGTATGGTCAGTTTCAAAGCAATACCTCCAATGGTTTTGAAATAAAGTGAGGTGGTACAAAAAACTTAACC